GCACAACCAGGATCTGCTTGTAGCCAGCTCTCCAGGGAGGTGCTGTGCACACTCCAGCTTGGGCAGGGCTGCCTGTGCCATCGCTCACAGTCCCACCAGCTCCTGTTACGAGGGATTGTTAGGAAGAAAAAGCCCAATTTCTGCAAAAGAGAGCAGGCTTTGGGCTTTGCTGCCCACTCACTGTGTGACCTTGGGTGGGTCAGGTGCCTGGCACCGAACGTTGCCCATCCATGAACCGGGGATGGCGGAGATTCTGAGCTCAGAGGATCGCCATGGGACTGCAAACTGGCCGATGCATGAGACAGGCATGGAGGAGGACCTGGCTGCCACGCTCGGGCTGTGGCCCACGTTTGCTTCATTGTGTTTATTATCCCTGCAGGTGGGCCACCTGGGGGCTTCAGGAAGATGAAGTCGTGTACTCAAGATGTGGGCATTCGGTGCGATGGTTGAGCTGCCACGTGCAAGGCCGACACCCCTTAGTGGAGCCCCCGGGTTTGAGTACCAGCTTCCTGCTAATGAGCACCCTGGGAGGCAGAGTCGTTGTGTCAAGGCGTCAGGGCCGGCCACCCATGCGGGGTGCCTGGATTGTGTTCCCAGCTCCCAGCTTCGGCCTGGTATAGTTCCAGCTCTTGGCCTGGTATAGTTCCAGCTCTTGTGCACATCTCGGGGGAGGGAACCAGCAGATGGGAGAACTCTGTGCGTCTCTCCGTTTCTCCTCTCTGCCTTTCAAATAAAATAGGGTGGGTAAGTCAATTTTACCTGATTTCTTCAAGCATCGTCATCTGCCCAGGGCTGTCGGGACACTGAAGCCGGGGGCATTCAACAGCAGGGTCGTTCCCTCTGCGTTCTTGGACCAGAACTCTCAGATCTCCGAGTTGGTGGGGCTGGTTTCCCATGAGGCCTCTCTCCCCAGCTTGTAGTCACCTCCTTCCTCTGTGCCTTTCCCAGCCGCCCCTCCATGGGGAGGGTGTCCTGGTCCCCTCCTCCTCCTCCTCCTCCTCTTCTTCTTCTCCTTCTCCTTCTCCTTCTTCTCCTTCTCCTCCTCCTCCTCCTCCTTCTTCTTCTTTTTTAAAGATTTATTTATTTATTTGAAAGTCAGAGTTACACAGAGAGAGAAGGAGAGGCAGAGAGGCAGAGAGGGAGAGAGGGAGGGAGGGAGAGAGGGAGGGAGAGAGAGAGAGGTTTTCCACCTGCTGGTTCACTCCCCAGATGGCTGCAATGACCGGAGCTGAGCTGATCCGAAGCCAGGAGTCAGGCTCACATTTCAAGGCACAGTTCCTGGTGCACCTGCCGCTGTCTCTCCTCTTGCCAGCAAGGTGCTCAGGAGACAGGACTCGCACCTGGTCCCTCCCCGTATGTCTCAGAGGCCCCAGCCCGGGGCCAGGGATGTCTGAGCCGGCGTCTTAGAGCTAGCGTACCCTGCATTTGTCATGACCACCGCTGGTTGTGAGTAGTGTTGCCGGCAGAGAGGTTGAGTGACCGTGTGGGGTCACACAGCTCAGACGCGGGTTCCCAGGCTCCGTCTCGCAGCCGCTTCTCCATGCCCCTGCGCGTCCCCGTGGGTCGGGCACACGGCTCTCCATGTCTCTGATGCTCACGGCAGCCCTGGAACATACGGCACATCTTTCCAGCCACGCAGGTGGCCAGAGACTTTCCCAGTGCGTGGCTGGGACGTAAGGTCTGGAGGCCTCGCACCCCACCACGGCTGTCTTGCTGAGCGGAGCCTGGCCTACGTGTGCCTGAAGCGAGAGTCGCGCTCCCTCTACAAGGAGCTGTCCCTGGGCCGATTCGTCCCCAGCCAGGGGCTTCCGGCTGTCCACGGCTCTCACCCCACTCCCTGCCTTACAGCTCAGACCAGTCTCTCCCCAGTCCTCCCTGCTTTTCTTCAGTCTCTATGTGTGGAGCTGGCTGGGGCGGCCTCTTGGGGCAGTGGGAGCCCTCATTCCCCAAGGCTGGGGATGCCCTTGACAGTGCAGCTGCTCAGGGCCTAGCTGGAGTCTCCCACCCACCCCCTCTCCTCCCCTTCTTCCCTGTTTTTATATGAAAGGCAGAGAGACAGACGGACATCTCCCATCCTACAAATGCCCGCAACAGCCAGGGCCAGACCACGGGGAAGCCAGGAGCCAGGAGCTTCTTCTGGGTCTCCCACGTGGGTGGCAGGGACTCAGCTACTTAAGCTGTCACCTGCTGCCTCTTCGTATGCGCATTAGCAGGAAGCCAGTTCAGAAGTGGGACCAGAACTTGAACCCAGGACTCTGACCTGGGAGGCAGCACCTGCACACCCACCCGTCCCCTCTGGAGGCTCGTCTAACGCTCTGCTCCTCTCCCCCTCTTGTCCTGCAGGTGACAAGCCTAGGACTCCAGCCTGCAGGGGGCCGGGACCCGCTGAAGACAGCCAGGAGGAGCAGGGAGTGTGTCTCCTTGGCCCTGCCAGGCCTGGCTCACCCAGGGAGCCGCTGGACCAAACTTCTGGAAGATTCTAGCTTGTTATTGCGAAGGCTCCCGGAGTGTCTAGGGGATGAGCCTTCGGGAACATCGTGGCTGCATGATGCTGTGACCCCATCACCAAGTGAGATCAGCGGCCAGCCAAGATGTCCAGCCTTGGGAGCCACCGTGCGCTCATCCAGGCTGGGAGGCTTTTCAAGGCAGCGTGGCCAGCCCACCCGTGACTCCTCATCCCCTCGACAGAAGGCTCCTAGTGGCTCATGGTGGAAGCTTTTCTCCCCTGTGGGAGAGTCCCCAAGGGATTCGCATGAGCGGCGTCCCGCGAGGCCAGTCTGACAGGCGGCTGGGGGACCGGCAGGATGTCCCACCACGGCTGGCCAGACGGGGCTGAGTGTCATCTCCTGCGAGTGCAACTGTTTGCGTCTGTCCATCCTTCCTTCCATCCATCCATCCAGTGGCGTGCTTGTCTGCGAAGGGACCTCTGGCAAAAGCAGAAAGGGCACAGTTCCAGGTCCCTGTCGCCCACCTGCCCACGGTGGCCCCAGGGCATCTAACGGCTACAGAAGGAACAGACTTGACGGGGGCCTCCCCACGGCCTCCCCCCACCTGCCGGCTCCGGCCTCACCACCCATCGTATTTCTGTAGCAAGCGAAGGCGCTGGCCTTGGCCCTTCCAAGTGCAAGTTCCCTGCAGAGGAGCCCCTGGACACAGACGCCCAGCCACCTTCGGTTTTTCTCAACTGCTTGTGTTTTGAGCACACGACTCTGGTTTTCCCCACCCTGAGGGCCGTGAAAGGCCCCTGTCCCTGGGGTCCCCTCCCTTCTGTGGCAAACAGCGTGAAATCGAGCCCTCCTCTTTGGGGGGCCCCTGGGAAAGGCGCCATGCCCAGGCGCCATGAGGCGTGACTCCAGCCGCCGGCCGGGGCGACTAGAATGGGGTCTGTTGTTCTCGGCAGACGGGGCCTGGGTCGGGCAGGCGCCTGGGCATGGCTCACAGGCGGGCGGCATTGATCCTGGGAGCGCTGCTTCCTCCCTCCCCGGCCTCACCCTGTGCACCTGTGCGGGAGGTGCCCGCCCCCACCCCCACTCCCTGAGCGCACACAAAGGAGTCCACTCTGAGTGGAAGGTCAGAGAGGTCAGGGTTGTCGCTGAGCTGGTCTGCAGGGGGGAGGCTGTGCAGGTGGGAGAGGCTCCGGTCCTCTTCTCCGTGTGGGACCATCTGTTTCTAGGCACAACCACAGTCATGGTTGGGCGAGATGGGCGGGAGCCAGGGCCGGCCACTCCCAACGTCCTGTGTGTGAACACAACATTTCTGAGTGGCATCGTAATTGGGAATGAAAACCTTGCATCTTTTTAAGTTCCTGAGGTTTGTCTAGATATCCCATGTCTGCTTTATGTATAAAGAAAAAAATAATCAGGTAAAAGTAAGCCCATCATTAGGGCTAAAATCTTTGGTTCCACACAAGAGGAGAGCCGAGGTTCTTCCTCTGTATTGGCTTTGCCATCTTCAGTCCCTGGCTGCTACTCCATGGTGTGAGATAGCTGCTGGAGATCCAGCCATTCTATCTTCATTCCAGCCAGCAAGAAGGAAAGAAGGCAGTCAGAAATCCTGCCTTTTCCTGAAGGGCACATCTGGAGTTCACATTTGCTACAGCCAGGGCTGGGCCAGGCCGAAGCCAGGAGCCAGGAGCTTTATCCAGGTCTCCCGTGTGGGTGCAGAGACCCAAACCCTTGGGCCATCTTCTGCTGCCCTCCCAGGCCACCAGAAGGGAGCTGGCTTGGAAGAAGAGCAGCCAGAACCCGAACTGGCGCCCACATGGGATGCCGGCGCTGCAGAAGGCAGCCTAACCCACTGCACCACAGCACCAGCCTCCCAGGACTTCATTCTAAGGCCACAACAAACGCGGGGCTGGCGGGGGAACGTTGGCTTCGATAAAAACCACTGAGGCAGGAGGCAAACACGGGTATTGGGGGGGTGATTAGCTCTCTTGGCCCCACTTTCTCCTGGGTGAGTCACACGTGGAGGGTTTATACCATGCACGCATCGTGTTGCGGTTTTAAGTATTCTTAGCCAAGACTGGCTTTGGAAGCACAGAATGATAAGGTCAGGATGAGAAATCCACCAGTCCACCAGTCTTCCTCTTACAGGCTGGGGACCCCAGAGCCCAGAGAGGCTGAGCAGATGAGCTGAGGTCACACAGCGACGTAGTTGGTGGCATCTGATCCCTGGCTCTTGTTTAGCGGGAAGAGTGTCGTTCTGCTTCTTAAAAAAAAAAAAAAAAAAAAACTTCACTCTGGAGGAGGGGGAGCAGAAAGCACTGAGCACCAGGGATATCAAATTCCATCCACGTCTCTGTATCTGAGAACCCAGGGTAGGGTTTGCGTGCCCCGATCTGCCCAGCCCTGGGTGCTGGCAGCTGAGGCCGCTGTGGGTGGGGACTGTGTGCTGGGCTGGCTGGAGGGTGCCTGTGTGGCCCTGCCCCTGTGTGTGTCCGCCTGTCCCCATGTCACTCCTGCCCCAGGGTGTGGCTGACTCCCTGTGTGCATCTGTTTCAGAGAGCCCCCTGCAAGGATGGGCGTGGCCAGGAGGCAGGACTTCTTCAGGGCCATTCTCACGGTCAGCTGGCTCCTCGTGGTCCACCTTCCCAGGTTCACATCCACAGGTGAGCCCCGTGTCTCAGCACGGACAGTGTGGAGGAGGAGGAGGAGGAGGAGCAGCCGGGGGGGGGCGTGGCTGCGGGGAGGCTGGGCTGTGACCCCTACCCACTGGGCCCCTTGATCCCGGGCCAGTCTCCTCTTGGGGTTCAGTCTTGCACCCACAAAGTGCAGGGGCTTGAATCAGGGGTCCAAGCCCAGGGACAAAAGGAGCTAAGCGCCTGACGCACACAGATGAGGCCGGCCAGGAGCGGCTGTGGGCGCCTGGGGAGCTGAGGGACCCCTGCTTTGCAGCCTGGACTAATAGTTGTCACGTGGGAAGGAGGGTCCCCTGCCATCGCAGGGTCTTTGGAATTTTTAAGGGAAGTCAGAAATCTAGAGTCTTACGTAATAGTTCTTTATTTTTTCAACCTTTTAATTTTTACTTATATATTTATTCATTCATTCATTTTATTCTAAAAGGCACAGAGACAAAAAGAGAAAGACAGAGATCTCCCATTTGCTGGTTCACTCCCCAAATACCCACAACAGCCAAGGTTGGGCCAGGCCAAAGCCAGGGGCCAGGAGCCCCATCCAGGTCTTCCGCGTGGGGGACAGGGGCCCAAACACTTGAGCCCTCACCCGCTTGCCCTCCAGGGTGCTCACTAGCAGGAAGTTGGACTTGGAAGTGGAACTGGGACTCAAACTCAGGAAGTGCAGTGTGGGATGCGGGCACCCAAGCAGCGTCTTAACAGCCACTCCACGTGCTCACTCCCCAAAGCTCCCTAGTTTCTTTTTTTTAAGATTTATTTTATTTATTTGAAAATCAGAGTTACACAGAGAGAGGAGAGGCAGAAAGAGGTCTTCCATCCGATGGTTCACTCCCTAATTGGCCGCAACAGCTGGAGCTGTGACGAGCAGAAGTCAGGAGCCAGGAGCTTCATCTGGGTCTCCCACGTGGGTGCAGGGGCCCAAGGACTTGGGCCATCTTCTACTGCTTTCCCAGGCCACAGGAGAGAGCTGGATCGGAAGTGGAGTAACTGGGACTAGAACCTGCACCTCTATGGGATGCCGGTGCTTCAGGCCAGGGCGTTAACCCGCTGTGCCACAGCTCTGGCCCTGTAAAGCTCCCTAGTTTCTAGATGCTAGCATTTAATTCAGATTTCATTCATTCTTTGTTGTCTCTAAGATTTTTTAAAATATTTATTTGAAATGCAGAGTTACAGAGAGGCAGAGAGAGAAAGAAGCAGAGAGAGAGAGAGGCAGAGAGAAAGAGAGAAGAAAGAGAGAGAGAGAATCTTCCATCCACTGGTTCACTCCCCAAATGGCCACAATGGCCAGAGCTGAGCTGATCCGAAGCCAGGAGGAGCCAGGAGCTTCTTCCAGGTCTCTCTTGTGGGTGCAGGAGCCCAAGGACTTGGGCCATCTTCTACTGCTTTCCCAGACCATAGCAGAGAGCTGGATCGGAAGTGGAGCTGCTGGGACTCGAACCGGCAGTCATTTGGGATGCTGTGCCACAACACCAGCCCCTGTAAGAATCTTTTTGACCCTTGGGCACATAGCAAGCAGTCAGTATTCTAAATTTCTATGCAGTAAGTGACAGCATGGCCTGAATTTGTCTGCGGGTCTTTCCGGCATCCATGGCGTTAACTGACATGAAGGGGGCAGTGGCTGTGCTGGCAACAGGGTTGGGCTTAACTTTGTAGGAAGCCCGTCCTAGAGGCCCACCTGCCCAAGGTGCATTCCTCCCACATCCTGGTTCCTCTCTTGCTGTGTGTGTGACACATTTGGAAAGGAGGCCGTGCCTCTGCTTCCCTCTGCTCCAGGCAGAAGCCAACCCTCGCCATTCACGCTCCAAGTAGTAGTCAGGCCCTGTTCCTTCCCAAGGCCCCTCCTGGGAAAGGCGGGGTGGTTGCCATGGCAACAGCTCGGCAGCCCCGGGGGCCTGTGTTCCTGCAGAGACAGAGCCACCACTTCCAAGTCCAAGTGCAAAGTGCGGCACCAAGGCACACGCTCAGAGAGTAAGAAGGGCAGGCCGGATGGCCCTGGCCAGTGCAGGCCGTGCGAGCTGACGGTTGTGAGACTAGAGTTAGGGAGACTCCTCCCAGCCTGCTGGTGGCCCTTGCCTGGATGGGGGGAGCTCTCTCGTTGGCCACACATGAACCCCATGCGGCTGGGAGTCACCTCCTGGTGACCGGTACTCACATCCAGGCCTAAGAGCAAGGCAGCCACACCCTGGACCTATCTGGAGAGAAGCCCAGGGGTGGGCTCCAATGCCCCGAGCCTCAGGCACCCACCCTAGCAGCGACTGCATCAAGGCCACCAATGAGCACACCCCACGGTGTCATCTGAGGGTCACTGCAGGTGACAGCAGCTGGGAGAGCCACTTTGTTGAATCCCCAAGAAGTGTGGCATTCCCTTCTCCTTTTTAAATAATTTTTTATTTACTTGAGTAGCAGAGCGACAGAGGGAGAGAGATACACAGACACAGAGGCAGAGAGAGCTCTCATCCAGTAGCTCACTGCCCACCCAAACACCTGCGGCAGCCTGCGGTGGAGGCTGAAGCCCAGAGCCAGGACCTCAGTCTGGGTCTTCGACATGAGGGGCATGGAGCCAACTACTTGAGCCTCCCAGGGTCAGCATTAGAAATTCCAAGGAGATGAGACCAGCACCGTGGCTCAATAGGCTAATCCTCCACCTTGCAGCGCCAGCACACGGGGTTCTAGTCCCGGTCGGGGGGCTGGATTCTGTCCAGGTTGCCCCTCTTCCAGGCCAGCTCTCTGGTGTGACCCGGGAGTGCAGTGGAGGATGGCCCAGGTCCTTGGGCCCTGCACCCCATGGGAGACCAGGAAAAGCACCTGGCTCCTGCCTTCGGATCAGCACAGTGCACCGGCTGCAGTGCGCTGGCCGCGGCGGCCACTGGAGGGTGAACCAACGGCAAAGGAAGGCCTTTCTCTCTGTCTCTCTCTTTCACTGTCCACTCTGCCTGTTAAGAAAAGAAAAGAAAAGAAAAGAAAAGAAAAGAAAAAAAAAAGGAAATTCCAAGGAGCTTCTGGAATCAGGAGTCAGAGCCAGGATATCAACCCAGTACTCCAGGGTAAGGTGCTGGACCAAACACCTGCCCCTGGAACTCCCCTCTTAAGGAAAGACAGCCAAGGCTGGGCCTGCACTGATGTAGGCGGAGCCTGAAGGAAGGTTGCCAGGTTCTGGGCCTGGAGAGAGATGATGGGTGGGATCATCCATCCCTGAGCGCCCACCCTGTGCTTGGCAGAGAAGGCAAAGGCCCATCGCCTCCTGTGGGTGGAGAGGAAGACCCAATGGGGGCAGGGGTCTCTGCCAGGTGCAGACACAGGGGCAGCTCCTCTGGCTCTCCTCGAGATACGTAAGAACGGGACAGACGCCGTTGCCCCCAAAACAGCAGAAGACAAGTCAGATGGCTTCAGCACTGGCCTGCAGTACTGAGCCCAGTGCCACCCTCCCTGTGTGTGGCTGTGGAGAGGCCCACTGCACCCACCTGGCTCCAGAGACGTGGCCTCCTGGGTCCCCTCCTTGGGGCCCGAGCTTGCCTCCCTTCCTTCCAGAACCTACCCCAGCGTCTGTGCACCCCATCACCTGCCCAGCCCCACCTGCCTCCCTCTCCCCCACCGCCGCACAGGGCACACAGCCTTCTGGTCACAGGGAACGGGAGGGGCTTGGGGCTTGTTCCCTGAGCCAGGCTTCTCCCATCTTGCTTTGCCCATTGCATCTTCCTGCCTCTCCTTTCTTTCCGAGGAGTTTCTTCCAGCATCCGGGACAGTGCCAGCCTGCTCCCGGCACCCTCCATGGCACAGTGCAGGCTCACAACCAGGGGACCCCATGGAGTAGAAACCCCTCCCAGCGCATCTGAGCATGGGAGCTGCCCACTGCATCCAAGCAGTGCCATCCTTTGGATGCCCTGACAGCAAACAGCACCACTGTCCACAGGGTCTTCTTCCTGGTTCTCCCGATAGGTGACAACTCGGGTTGCAAGAAATAAGACTGTGGGGGCTTTTCTGACTTATGAGCCCCTGCCCCACTGGAGCCATCACTTCTTTATTTAAAAAAAAAAAGGTTTATTTTATGTATTTGAAAGGTGGGGAGGGAGAGAGCTCTTTTATCCATTGGTTTACTCCACAAACGACTGCAACAGCAGAGACTGGGTCAGGCCAAGCCAGAAGTCAGGAGCTCCATCCAGGTCTCCCACGTGGGTGCAGGGGCCCAAGCACTTGGCCCATCTTCTGCTGCTTTCCCAGGTGCATTAAGGGAGCTGGATCAGAAGCAGAACAGCCGGGCTTTGAACCGGCACTCGCATAGGATGCCAGTGTCGCAAGTGGTGGCTTAACCCGTGGCACCGCAACACCAGCCCCAAGCCATCACCTCTTACCATAGCTCTTGGGGGTCCTCACCGGGACACACCCGGTGGCAAGAGTAACAGCCCACAGGGAAGCCTGCAGCATGACAGCCGTGCCAAATGTAAGCATATTTCTGGCTCCTCCCAGTTTGGACCATTTACCCATCAGGGATCTCTCGTTACAAGCAGCGTTGCTTGGTGACGGAATTTATATTCTACCATCTTTCTCAGGTTTCCGGGGGAACAGACTTAGAAAATTAGCCAGAGGTCAAATTCTCATTTGCAGAAAGCAAAAGAATTTGGTTAACTCTTCAAGAACCACCTTCCAGGTGACAGAGTGTCTTGGAATCCAAGTGATCTGGGTAAACCATGGCATAACATTTCATCTTAGAATGGGCTGAATGGTCATCTGGTCTACCCTTCATTTTGTGAATGGGGAACTTGACCCAGAAAGGGGAAGAAGTGACTTGTTCACAGAAACATGACGAGCTTGTGAGGACATGGGCTGGACTCCAGGGCCCGGCCTCCATAGCAGGGCTCTCTCCCAGGGCTGCGGCAATCTTTGCGTGGTGATGCTTGTGGGTGGGAGTGGTGACTTCTCTTTGACCTTGGCAGTGGTAGCCCAGTGCCCCGACCAGAACCCGGAGCTGCAGCCCTGGAACCCGGGCCATGACGAAGACCACGAGGTGCACATCGGCCAGGGCAGGATGCTGCTGCTCACCTCCTCGGCCACCGTCCACTCCATCCGCATCTCAGAGGGAGGTGAGCAGCCCCCCGCCTCCTCCCCGCCCCCACCCCAGTGCCTTGCAGAAGAGAGGCAGGTTGCCGTGACTCTGGATTGACAGGCCAGACGTCAGGGGCTGGGGTTCACGGCCACGTCTGAGGTGGCACTGAGGAGCGGCTTGTCAGAGGGTCCTGTCTCTATAGAGAAAACTCCCCAGCGCTTCTCGCGGTAGCCCTGCTTGTCCCCCATCTCAGAGGCCTGGCCATCGAGTGCAGAGGGTTCAGGGTTGGCAGCAAACCAGTCGGGTGCTCAGTGCCAAGCAGAGAGCAGAGGACTTGTAGGCACAGCCAGCGTAGAAGTGGTTGGGAGATGTGCCTCGTAAGCCACCTGGATGGGATGAGGAGTTGCTCAGAGAGCCTGACCTTGACCCTGCTACAACCTCGCCCTTGACCCGACTCCGTCCCCACCTCCCCAGGCAAGCTGGTCATCAAGGACCACGAGGAGCCCATTGTGCTGCGGACCAGGCACATCCTGATTGACAGCGGCGGGGAGCTGCATGCTGGGAGCGCCCTCTGCCCATTCCAGGGCAACTTTAGCATCGTCTTGTATGGAAGGTAGGGGGACCAGGCAGGCGGGCACCCTGGGGCTCCTGGAGCTCACAGGGCGGGGCTTTCCCAGGGAGAGCGAGAGGTGGGGGACCGACAGCAATCAACATTCGCTCCTGCTGGATTGTCTTGTCTTTTTAAATATTCATCTATTTAGTAATAAGGCAAACACAGGGAGAGAGAGAAAGAGAGAGAGAGAGAGAGAGAGAGATCTTCCATCTGCTGGTTCACTCTCCAAGTGGCCGTAACGGCCAAACCAGGCTGGGCCGGGTTGAAGCCAGGAGCCTGGGACTCCATCCTGGTTTCCCATGCAGGTGCAGAGGCCCAAGCACTTCGGTCACCCTCTGCTGCTTTCCCATTAGCCATTAGTAGGGAGCTGGATCAGAAGCGGAGCAGCCGGGACTTGAGCCGGCGCTCTGATACAGGATGCTGGCGTCACACGTAACGGCTTAACCCGCTGAGCCGCAGTGCCGGCCTCCAGATTGTGATCATGAACAAGACAGATGTGTTGCTGGCCCTGCGGCTCACTAGGCTAATCCTCCACTTGCAGCACCGGCACCCCGGGTTCTAGTCCCGGTCGGGATGCCAGATTCTGTCCCGGTTACCCCTCTTCCAGGCCAGCTCTCTGCTGTGGTCCAGGAAGGCAGTGGAGGATGGCCCAAGTCCTTGGGCCCTGGACCCGCATGGGAGACCAGGAGAAGCACCTGGCTCCTGCCTTCGGATTGACGCAGCATGCCGGCTGCAGCACGCCAGCCTAGCGGCCATTTTGGGGGTGAACCAATGGAAGGAAGACCTTTCTCTCTCTCTCTCTCTCTCTCTCTCTCACTGTCTAACTCTGCCTGTCAAAAAAAAAAAAAAAAACCACCAGATGTGTTTATCCAGATGAGCTGGAGCGTCCATGAGACACTACACTGATCACAGCCTAGGTGGCCAGTTTATGCTGGACTCCCTGCCAGCATTTCAGCTGCCTGCCAGTCACACACCCATGCAGGATGTAAGGCACAAGGTACAGGCAAACCCCATGCAGTGGAGACTTTTAAGAAGTGACAGCTGGCTGGTGCCACGGCTCACTAGGCTAATCCTCCACCTGCAGCGCTGGCACCCCGGGTTCTAGTCCTGGTCGGGGCGCCGGATTCTGTCCCGGTTGCCCCTCTTCCAGGCCAGCTCTCTGCTGTGGCCAGGGAGTGCAGTGGAGGATGGCCCAGGTGCTTGGGCCCTGCACCCCATGGGAGACCAGGAGAAGCACCTGGCTCCTGCCTTCGGATCAGCGCGGTGCGCCGGCCGGCATGCTGCGGCAGCAGCCATTGGGAGGTGAACCAATGGTAAAGGAAGACCTTTCTCTCTCTCTCTTTCTCTCTCTCACTGTCCACTCTGCCTGTCAAAAATTAGAAAAAAAAAGTTTATATATTTATTTTCATTTTACTTGCAAGATGAGAGAGAGAGAGATCATCCATCCATTGGTTCACTCCCTAAATACATACAACAATCAAGGCTGGGCCAGGCTGAAGCCAGAAACCTGGAACTCCATCTGGGTCTCTCGTATGAGAGACAGGGACCAAAGTCCTGGAGCCATCACCTGCTCCTCCCAGGGTGTGTGTTAGCAGGGGACTGGGATTGGAAGCAGAGCCGAGACTCAAATCCCGGCACTGGGATGTGAGAGATGGGCGTCTTCCCCTCTGCACAGGTGCCCATCCACAGCTCTTTTTCTCCCGCAGGGCTGATGACGATGTGGAGCCAGATCCTTACTTTGGCCTGAAGTACATCGGCGTGGACAGAGGAGGCACCCTGGAGTTGCACGGGCAGAAAAAGCTCTCCTGGACGTTTCTGAACAAGACCCTCCACCCCGGGGGCATGCAGGAGGGAGGCTATTTTTTTGAAAGGAGCTGGGGCCACCGTGGGGTCATCGTGCATGTCATCGACCCCAAATCAGCCACCGTTGTTCACTCCGACCGGTAAGGCTCGCCTTCCCTCCAGCATACACCCCTTCATTCAGCGCGCGCTTGCTGGGCGCGTGGCCCAGGGCACTATGCTAGGTGCCGGGCACATGGCAGAGACCCAGACACAGGGAAATCCCTGCCCTTGAGGAATTTGTATCTTTCCCTGGACATTGGCCCAGTGAGGCTGAGTTTAACAGGAATAATCAGGCAAACACACGCACACACACACACACACAGAGCATGGTTTTATTTATCTTTTAAAAAGATTTATCTAACAGAAAGAGTGGGAGAGACAGAGAGAGATCTTCCTCCCACTGGTTCACTCCCCAAGTGGTTGCAATGGCCAAGGCTGAGCCAAGCCAAAACCAGGAGCTTCATCTGGGTCTCCCATGTGGGTGCAGGGGGCCAAGCACTTGGGCCGTCTTCTGCTGCTTTCCCAGGCGCATTAGCAGGGAGCGGGATTGGAAGTGGAGCAGCCAGGACTTGAACCGGCACCTGTATGGGATGCCAGTGCTGCAGACAGCAACTTCACCTGCTACGCCACAGCTCCACACCATGGTGTTAGAGTGTGGTGATGGATAATGAGGTAGGGAGGCGATGATGGAACAGCTGAAAATAATTAGAGACCACTTTGGAGCAGGTGATCAGAGTGGTCTGGGGAGAGGAAGCAACGGTTGAGCTGAGAAGTACAAGGTGAGGATGTGGCAGGGAAGAGGGTTCATGACTAAGAGCAGCCCGTGCAAAGGGGTGCAAAATCACGTGATAACGTCAGGGCTACAGGCAGAGGCAAGGGAGGGAGCTTGGAGGCCATGATAAGAAGCAGCCACTCCAGGGCTTAAGGAGATCAGGATCGGACTCAGAAGAACACTGTGGCTGGAGGGCAGAAGTGAAGACACTGGAGGTGGCCAGGCAGCCCTGCCCTGGGCCAGAGACAGCAGTGCTGAGGGCTCTGGTGGAAGCAATGGAGACAGACGCTGGGGAACTGGAGAGAGACGGGAAGGCAGAGAGCGGGTCTCCCGCACCCTCCCACTCTGTCTCTCCCCATCAACTGGCAGATTCCGCAGGGGCTGCACCTGCCTGTTGGCCTCCCCATGGTTCTCCTTTTTTTTTTTTTTTTTTTTTTTGACAGACAGAGTGGACAGTGAGAGAGAGAGACAGAGAGAAAGGTCTTCCTTTGCCATTGGTTCACCCTCCAATGGCCGCCGTGGCCGGCGCACTGCGCTGATCCGATGGCAGGAGCCAGGTGCTTCTCCTGGTCTCCCATGGGGTGCAGGGCCCAAGCACTTGGGCCATCCTCCACTGCACTCCCGGGCCACAGCAGAGAGCTGGCCTGGAAGAGGGGCAACCGGGACAGAATCCGGAGCCCCGATCGGGACTAGAACCCGGTGTGCCGGCGCCTCAAGGCAGAGGATTAGCCTAGTGAGCCGCGGCGCCGGTCCCCATGGTTCTCATACTGACCCCCCAGGAAGGACACAGCTGGGCTTGGATGGACGCAGGAAGAGCTATCGCGGTGCTGATGAGCGAGGGACTTGGACCACGCAGGAGCCGGGCATGAGTGGCAGAGAAGCAGCTGTGGTGCCGACGCCTTCCCATGCAAGGATGGGCATTTAGCCCAGCGGCTGAGACCTTGGTTAAGATGCCCGTGTCCCACATTGGAGACCTGGGTTCAACACCAGCTCCAGCTCCTGTCTCCAGCTTCCCACCAATGCTTGGGAGCAGTGAGGACGACTCAAGTCCTGGGGTCCCTGGCACCCATGAGGGAGACCTGTGATGAGTTTCTGGCTCCCAGCTTTGGCCCGGCCAAGCCATTCTCATTCTCTCTCTCTCTCATAAGAAATTTAAACATCTGTGAAATGGGTTCTGTTACCCATATTATATAACGAAGCACTGTGACTCAGCAGTATGGAATTTGCTGAGTCACAGGTTGGTGTGGGTTGGAGCTACTACTACATCGCCCTCTTGGGTTCCCTGGTGACAGCCATCTGCCTTGGCCTGGCACTGGGCAAGCCCAAGCCCACAGGTGAAGCCTGCCATGGGCGTGGCTAAAGCTGGAATGAGCATGATTGACATGGAGTGAGGGAGGAGACAGTCTCCTGGTGCCGCCTCTTGCGTGGCGGCAGCACCGTGCCTTGCAGCTGTCCCACACAAAGCCTGATCCTTCTTGAACTGGAGGTGTTGTCTGGAGAGCTAATGGAGGCAGAATGCCTGCGGGCCAGATCTCCTCTGCTAAAAGTAGATGCTGGAGACCTCAAGAATCCAACCCCTGGGAGCAAGCGTCTAGCCTAGGGGGGTGGGGTGCTCACCTCCCATGCAGAAGTACTTGGGTTTGACTCTCACCTCTGGCTGCTGGCTCCAGCTCCTTGCTAACGCAGACCCTGAAAGGCAGTGGGGACGGCTCAAGTGGGTATCCCTGCACCCATGTGGGAGACCTGGATAACATTCCCTGCTCCTGACTCCCAGTTTCAGCCTCAGCTCCAGCCCAATCCCAGCCTTTGCAGGCATCTGGAAAATGAACCAGGGATGGAAGCACTCTCTCTGTGTATCTATTTCTGTCTCGTCCTCTTCCCTCCCAAATCAACAAATAAAACTTTGTAAAAAGAAAAAGAAGCCGGCGCCGCGGCTCACTAGGCTAATCCTCCGCCTTGCGGCGCCGGCACACCGGGTTCTAGTCCCGGTTGGGGCGCCGGATTCTGTCCCGGTTGCCCCTCTTCCAGGCCAGCTCTCTGCTGTGGCCCGGGAGTGCAGTGGAGGATGGCCCAGGTGCTTGGGCCCTGCACACCATGGGAGACCAGGAGAAGCACCTGGCTCCTGCCATCGGATCAGCGCGGTGCGCCGGCCGCAGCATGCCTGCCGCGGCGGCCATTGGAGGGTGAACCAACGGCAAAGGAAGACCTTTCTCTCTGTCTCTCTCTCACACTGTTCACTCTGCCTGTCAAACAAACAAAAAAAAAAAAAAAAGAAAAGAAAAGAAAAGAAAAGAAAAGAAAAAGAAAGGAGAAAAAGCCAGAGGGGAACCAACTTAAAACAAAAAAAGAGTCTGCCAGCTGGATATGTGTGAAGACGGATATGAACGCACACGCACAAGCGTGAACACGGGCTAAAGCCACCAGGGAAAGTCAGCTGTCTGGTGGGAGTGCAGGGGGCCCTTGGGAGAGGCAGCAGCATTTGATGAGGCAGAGAGAGGTGGCGACGAAGAGCGAGCACAGGAGTGGGGTGTGCCGTGGTCCCCCGGGGCTGAGAAGGGCCAGGCTTGCAGCAGACAGTCCCTGGGAGGACCATGGGAGGTTGAGGAGGCCGAGGGGGGTTGGACCAAGTTATGCAAACAGCGAAAAAGCAGCTGGGGGCCTCAGCAGAACCCATTCAGCCGCCGCTGGTACCACCCTTATTTTCCTTGTCTTGCTCAAAACCTCCTTGGCCATTCATGCTGGCTCATTTTTCTGGATTCATCTTAGAATTGTTTGGCTTATTAAGTTGCAAGACAAATTCTTTTGCAATTTCCACTGTAATTGCACAACGTCTTTGTACTTACATGAGAATCAGGATCATGACAAATGTATCTTTCCTTTGTCAGTTCTGACCAGTGAGGGAAAAAGGGCATGATTCCTAGTATTTTACATGGATGATGTTGGGATGTCCTTGTCCATTTTGATTTTTATCCTGTCATTTAAATTTAAGAGGGTATATGATAAGTGGTCTTTTTAAAGATTTATTTATTTATTTGAAAGGCAGAGCAATGGGCGGGGGGAGGGTGTTGAGAGAGAGAGTGAGAGAGAGAGAGAAATCTTCCATCTTCCATCCTCAGGTTCACTTCCCAAGTGGCTGCAACAGCCAGGGCTAGGCCAGGCCAAAGCTAAGGCCAGGAATTCCATCTGGGTCTCCCACATGGTAGCAGGGGCCCAAGCACTTGGCCTATCATCTGCTGCCTTCCCAGGCACATTAGCAGGGAGCTGGATCAGAAGCAGAGCAGCCAGGACTGGAACTAGTGCTCTGATGTAGGACCCTAGCATTGCAAACAGAGGCTTAACACCCTGTACCACAATACTGATTTCTTTAAAAGATAAACAGGAACATAACAGGAATGCAACAGTGCTTCCAAAGGCCAGAGATTATGTCCCTGCTGCTATCAAATCAGAGGTGACATTGAAATGATTCTTTTTTTAATATTTATTTTATTTATTTGAAAGAGGGAGTTACAAGTTACAGAGAAAGGCAGAGACAGAGTGGTCTTCTATCCGCTGGTTCACTCCCCAGATGGCCGCCACAGTCAGAGCTGCGCCGATCCAAATCCAGGAGCCAGGAGCTTCTTCTAGGTCTCCCACATGGGTGCAGGGGCCCAAGGACTTGGGCCATCTTCTACTGCTTTCCCAGGCCATAGCAGAGAGCTGGATTGGAAGAGGAGCAGCCAGGACTAGAACCGGCACCCATATGGGATGCCTGTGCTTCAGGCCAGGGCCTTAACCTGCTGCACCACAGCGCCAGCCCCTGGAATGATCCTACTGGCTGCTGCAGGGACCAGAGCCTTGAGTCGGGATAGTCTCTGTTGACTTCCAGGAATCTGGGGAGAGTGCTTTCAGTCTGCACCAGAGATCAAATTCCCTGCCACTCTAGGTATCTGAGCTCTCTCCCAAAGTCAGGCTCTGGTGCTGGGCGCAATCCACAGCCTCCAGGATGAAAGGCGAACATGAGAAGGCCCCACGTGGGTGACCCGCTCGGCACCCTGCACCTTAAAATTCTTTGGGATTTTGGCCGGCGCCGTGGCTCAATAGGCTAATCCTCTACCTTGTGGCGCTGGCACACCAGGTTCTAGTCCCGGTCAGGGCGCCGGATTCTGTCCCGGTTGCCCCTCTTCCAGGCCAGCTCTCTGCTGTGGCCCGGGAGTGCAGAGGAGGATGGCCCAAGTGCTTGGGCCCTGCACCCCATGGGAGACCAGGAGAAGCACCTGGCTCCTGGCTTCGGATCAGCACGGTGCCCCGGCCGCGGTGGCCATTGGAGGGTGAACCAACGGCAGAAAAGGAAGACCTTTCTCTCTGTCTCTCTCTCTCTCTCACTGTCCACTCTGTCTGTCAAAAAAAAAAAAAAAAAATTCTTTGGGATTTTGTCCACAGAACAATCACCCTGCTTGGGTCCTTTCTTCTTGGGTGTCGTGGGTGTGGTGTGCAAGATAAGTCAAGTGATTTGCTCTTTCAAGTCTAAGCCTTGGTGGCACCGCTGGCTGTCACATCACGGATGCGTGCTTGGACTGCTCTGTCTTGAGAATCCTCAAGTCCTCCCTCTCCCTGACCTTTCTAGGTTCGACACCTACAGATCCAAGAAAGAGAGCGAGCGCCTGGTTCAGTACTTGAACGCGGTGCCCGACGGCAGGATCCTCTCGGTGGCGGTGAATGACGAGGGTTCCCGAAACCTGGACGACACGGCCCGGAAGGCGATGACCAAACTGGGGAGCAAGCACTTCCTGCACCTGGGTTTCAGGTACCGCCCATCACGTCCACCTGCACCGGCATCTGGGGCTTGTTCTTAAAGGGATCCTGCCTTTTTAAGTACAAGCATAGCTTATTCCTAAAACACAAAAGGTCTGTGTGTACCTGAGCTCATTCAGTCAGTCAACCACTGCCCAAGTATTAATGAGCATCTATAAGATGAGTAAGAGCCCTTCCTCCATGGGTTGTTCGTGTTGACTCTCCTGTCTGTAGCAAAGAATTCCTATCAGGCCTTGGGGTTTGACAGATGGTTTCATTTTTTCAAGATTGAGCTAAGAGTCTCTACCCAAATGCTCAAGAAGGGACCCTTGGGATATGGTCCAGCGTGTGTGGTGCTAGCCTCATGCCTGCCATTGGTGTTGCGCACAGAGCAGCCCCAACAGGAAGCTGCTTCCTTTGCAGGAACCACACCTTGTGGCAGGCTGAGTCAGATCTCAACTCCATGGCAAATCAAGGCTGCTTGCCCTGAGGCTGCCTGCGCATGGAGCAGCTCCTCCCTTCAGCTCCTGAGAGCGAGGGAAAGGGCCAGGGCGGGCCAGAGCCTCGCGTTGGCTCAGAGCACAGCAGTTGTACCAGCTGGACAGATTCCCTGTGCAAGCGAAGGCTGCTCTGGGTTCCAGAGTGCATGCTGGACAGCCCAGGGGCTGCTCCTTTTGGAAGGGAAACGCAAGCGGGAAATGCAAGCAGCCAAAGATGACAGCAGTGATATCTTGGCACTGCAGGCTTCCATTGTTAGCCAACACTGAACGGGCTTCCACTCCATTGTGACATAAACCCAGAGGCCGCTTTATGAATGAATGGGAGCTGGAACTGGAAGGGGCCTGGCTTAAGATCTGGCACCTGTTGGCCTGGATTTGAATCTGGGCCACACCTCCGAGGAGGTGGAAGTGCAGGCCAGTGCACAGTTTCTGCATCTGTGAAATGGGTTATCTCGGGAGGGACCTATCAGGAGGATAAAACCTCATAGGATATACAGAATCTTCGTCATCCTGTCACTCCATACGCGACAGCAATTCTCTCCTTCCAAACAAGCCCCAGGAGGAAGGCACCTGCTTTGTTTCACGTGGGTAGCAGTGATAGGCAGTCGGGAATTACATTTCTGCCCTGGTTGGCACAGAGACACCCTTCAGTGAAATCAGCAGGTCTGAGACGTGGCCCCTTCCGTCTGTTTACCCATGCGGGGACGCGGTCCCGGGCTGTGGACCAGATCTACTGAACTCTCAGGGGAAGGCAGAGGTTAACAGGAAGACGGAAGGGAGAGCGAGAGAGCAGGCGAGTAGGGCTCAGTGCAGACCTGCAGGTGAGAAAAGGCCACGCAGGTGCCCCACAGCCGGTTCTAGGCCCAGGGACGACAGCATGACGGTTGAGAGAGACGAGGCCGGGAGGGGGCAGAGGAAGGCCTTGGCTGTGCAGGGAGGAGCTTCCTTTTTTATCCAGGGGGCAGTGGGGAGCCATTGCAGGCTTTTGAGCAGGAAATGATGGACGTAGCTGAAGCCCCAGCCTCAGTTAAGGAATGCCCTTGATTACCAGTTTCGCTGCAAGTTCTGTTTTATCAAACTTTGTTCGGGTTGATAGGAGAGATGTATTACTGCAGTTTCGATGCTGTGGCGGCCGTTTTAAAATTCGCCGTCTGTCCGAGTGGAGTTGAGCCTCTTCTCACTGAAAGCTGTGCAGAGCTCTTGCCTACGGCCTCGCCAGACTCTGGTCGTCCCACTTTTTTATTTGCTGAACTCTGCATTTAGTAGAGCGTGAAGCCTTTGACTATTGCGTATCTGTCACCCTACGAAATATTGTTTAAAAAAAATGAAAAAAAAAAAAACACCTACCTGTCAATAATGAGTTACATTCCCAAACAAGAGAGCAAAACAAACTCAGCCCCAAAAGTTATGGCTCATGGTAAGAGAGAAGCCACAGGAGAGGGGAAAATGCCTTTCCTTCTCTCCTTCTAAGTTCTTGGCTGGAGCCCCAGTAACAGAAATGCTTATAAACAAGAGGACAAATTCCTTTCTTCTGGGTACAAGGAGGGTACCTCCCACCTGAAAGGTTTGTGGCTTGCTTCTGGGAAGAAGGATCAGGGCGATCAGAGAGCACATCCTGCCATTTCTCAAATTCTTTCAGCTTAAAGTGTCCAGGGGGCGCTATTTTGGGGTGGTGTGTCCTGAACCTACCCCTGCCTTAGGCATGGCGGGGAAGCCAAAGATGGCTCGGAAGACCCTGCCGCCCCAAAGCAGTGCCCACTTTCTTGGAGCCAGGAAGGGTGGAGCTCTCTGCAAAACCTCAGCTCTCCCTCCCTCTCTCTCTCCGTGCCCACCCACCAGGGAGCTGGGATTTTTCATTCCTTGCCACAGCCCAGGCAGGTGGCTCTGTCTGTTGGCAGCCCCATTAGCCTCTGGCCCGTTTGTCAAGCCCACGTCTCGGGGAGCCGACCCGACGGGGAGAACACACTTTCCTAAGGGGATCTAACTTGCGGGCTTGCTCGTGTACTTGTGCTTCGTCCTGGGTCAGCTACAGCATAGAGATGAAGAAGCTCACAAGAAGCGGGCAGCAGGCGAGCCAGGCGGGGAGGAAGTGCAGGCGAGTGCTTGCAAGGACTGGCTCTGCTCTCCTGCAGAGCGGAAGCTGCGCCAGGGAACCCTCTGATCCAACTCTGCCCCCAGCACAGGCTCAGACGTGCAAAGAGCTTTGCTCTGCATGGTTGCTTTGTTGTTTTTTTTCCAGACACCCTTGGAGCTTTCTCACCGTGAAAGGAAATCCCACTTCTTCCGTGGAAGACCATATTGAATATCATGGTAACTCACAGCTGGGGTGGGCCTGACTCTGTCCCCCCGCCCCCAGGTCTCGCTCACCAAGAGACTCGGGGTCTTTTGGAATTGCCTACTTCCCCCGGAGCTTGGATGCCCTCTGCCAACAGCTAGTTGAGTGACCTGACTGTCCGTGTTATGTGAACTTACCGAAGGTCAATGCCAATCAAAGGCCAATAGCTTGCAATGGTGTTTGCTTTTCCAAAAACAGACGTCTGTCTTCATTGGCTTAATCAGCAGTTAAGACGTGTGTGTCCTGTGTCAGAGGGCCTGGGTGCTATATCCAGATCGGGCTCCTGATTCCAGCTTCCTGCTAGTGCAGACCCTGGGAGCCAGCAGATGGTGGCTCCAGTCCTTGGATCCCTGCTACCCATGGGGGAGACCCGGACTGAGGGCAAGGCTCCTGACTCCCACCGGGCCCAGTCCTCTGGGGACTGAACCAGTGGATGAGAGTTTGTTTGTCTGTCTGTCTCTCTGCCTCTCAAATAAATAAGTTTTTTTTTTTTTAAATAATGACTCAATACAAAACATAGAAGTGGCATAGAAAAGAATGGGGAGGAATAGTTTGGGCTAAAAAGTCAGTTTCCAGGGGCAGGCACCAGCAGCCCATATTGGAGCAATGATTTGAGTCCAGGCTGCTCCACTTCTGATCCAGCTCCCTGCAAATGCACCTGGGAAGGCAGCAGAGGATGGTACAAGTGCTTCCAGCCTCTGCCACCGCACATAGCAAACCAGGATGGAGTTCCTGGTTCTTGGTTTCAGCCCGGACTAGCTCTTGCTGTTGAAGCCATTTGGAGAGTGAACCGGCAGAAGAAAGATCTCTCTGTCTACCTCTCTCTCTATGTCACTCTGTCTTCTAAATAAAGAAAGAAGTCTTTAGGAAAAAGGAAACACTTTGAATGAGCCTCCTCTGCCCAAGACGTATTGGGAGGCACTCTGCTTCCGATCTCAGGCAGGGATTCAAACCACAAGGAAAGGAGGGGGATGGCGCTGCTTCATGTTCCAGCTGCTCCACTTCCAATCCACCTCCCTGCTGGTGGTCTGGGAAAGCAGTGGAAGATGACCCAAGTGCTTGGGGCCCTGTAGCCATGTGGAAGACCCGGAAGAAGCTCCTGGCTTCAGTCTGGCCAGTCCTGGCTGCTATGGCCATTCGGGAAGTGAACCAGAGGATGGAAGACCTCTGTTTGTGTGTGTGTGTGTGTCTCTCTCACTCTGTAACTAACTCTGTCTTTCAAATAAAGAAAAATAAATCTTAAAAAAAATCAGGAGAAAAGATAGGGTTCCCAAATCTGGATTTATGGTAATGCTGCAACTGCCCTTTAAAGAATAGACAGTGGAACAAAAAGAATGACCTGATGTTTAAAATGGTTTTTTTTTTTTTGAAAGATTTATTTATTATTTGAGAGTCAGAGTTATAGAGAAGGAGAGAGAGAGAGAGAGAGAGAGAGAAAGAGAGAGAGAGAACTCTTCCGTCTGCTGGTTCACACCCCAGAGGGCCACAATGGTTGGTACAGGGCCAGGAGCCAGGAGCTTCCTCCTGGTCTCCCACACAGGTACAGGTGCCCAAGCACTTGGGCCATCTACCACTGCTTTTCCAGGCACATTAGCAGGGAGCTGGATCAGAAGTGGGGCAGCCGGGAATCGAACCAGTGCCCATATGGGATGCTGGCACTGCAGGCTGCGGCTCAACCCCGCTATGCCACAGCACCAGCCCCTAAAATGTTTTTTAAAGAAGCTCTTGAAGACCCTGTGTGCAGGGGGACTCTCTCTGCCTTGGAATCAGGGGGCTCACCAGGGGCTCAGCATCCGCTCTCTCTGGCAGGGCACCGAGGATCCGCAGCTGCCCGGGTGTCCAAACTGTTCAAGACGGAGCATGGCGAGTATTTCAACGTGTCTTCGTCCAGCGAGTGGGTTCAAGGTGAGGCCAACAGCAAGACGGAAGGCCAGGGGCCACACCTGGGGCTGTAGAGAGCAGCCAGCCTGGGGCAGCCCTTGGGGAATGGATTTTATTCCTCGCCTTTGTGTTTAGCTGTTTTGTGTTTCAAATGCACAGGGCTTTTTATAAATAGGAAAGTCGGTGCGAAGGTTGGGAGATGGCTTATGCACCACCCAGATCCCAGCCGGGTGCAACCGTGGACAGAGAATTCTCAATTCCCACAGTGCCGCGGGTGCCCGGGCCCACACTGCATGTGTCTCACCTCCAGGGGCCACTTCTACTCTTTGCTTCCTGCCTAGATGCGGAGTGGACGGAATGGTTCGACCACGATAAAGTGTCCCAGACTAAAGGCGGGGAGAAGATTTCCGACCTCCGGGCGGCTCACCCAGGAAAGATCTGCAACCGCCCCATCGATATCCAGGTACCCTCCACCCCGAAGCCTCTGGGGACCACAGCCTTCTTGTCCCTTGGGTTGGGTGACCCTCCTGGCCTCCTGCGATGCAGGGCTGGGGAGGGCCAGTCCCAGCACAGAGACAGAGAAGAAAGTGGAAGATCTGCCCGAAGCCCAGGGCTGATTCCCTGCTCGGTCCTGCCGCTGCTGCTCCTCCCCTCGCGTCTTCAGCTATGGCAGGGAGTGCCCCGCCTGGTGCCTCTGGGACCTGGAGCACCGGGGATGCAGTGAGGATGGTCTGGGGTGCAGGCTGAGCCCAGCCCGCGTGTGGGACACGCCAGTGGCCTTGCTCCCCACTGAGCTCAGTAGACGTAGCTTTCAAGAATGCTTGGGGTAGGATCTTCCCCTAGGGTTAGTTCTACCTGGAGACCTTGACCTAGAGTTGGCTCCATCCAGTGTGGAGTAAACTCCCAGACCTCACAGCTCAGCAGATTGGCTGTGGGATCCGAGGCTCCATGGACCGTGGGAGAGAAAGGAGACCTAGGCGAAGTCAGCGGCGTTTATTTCCCTAATCCCAGTCTCACTCAAAGCAAGCCTCTTAACTACTTGATGATCTAAATTAGAAGTCACTGGAAAAGGACTATACTAGCCCATTTTCCCCATTTTCAGATAATAAAAATATAATTGGCCCTCCATAAACACAGATGCCACAGTCACGGATTCAACTGACGTTCAATCAAAAATGTTTAAGAAAAGATTTGTATCTTATCTTGAACTCAGACTTTTGCCTCATCGTAATTCCCTAAGCCATGGAGTGTACCAACTCTTTCCATGGCATCTACACTGTGTTAGGTGCTCTACATAGTCAGAGAGGATTTCAAGTGTGTGGCTCCTGTGCGGAGTTGGCATCATTGTATCTGAGAGACTCAGGCCTTCCAGGATTTCAGTGTCTGCAGGGTTAGGGGTGGGGGTCCGGTCCCCCGGGGATGCTGGGAGACAACCGTGGTGATGGACATCTGTACCTCTCCCAGAGGACCTCACCTTGGGCCCCCGGTCACCTGACTGTGCCCCTGCGCCTCCACGCTCTCCTGGGCACAGCGTGCACCGTGCTTCTTGTGTTGTTCCGTGTCCGGGGAAGGGCGCTCGGGCTGCAGTTAGCAAAGGCAGGGGCAAACTTGCTCATGGTCTATCTGGGGCTCTCCACCCCACCGGGGCTCCAGGGTCATTGAACCGGATTTACCCAGATTAAGTTGCAGCTTGCAGACTCTTCTTGGGTCCAACAGAATCACACAGCACGGACCCCCCCAAAGCACATACTTCCCAGATTTAATTTTCATTCTCTCTTGGAACCTCAAGCATTCCAGCTTTAATTGGACATGGACATGAATCTTCTCTCTCCCGTGTCCTTGACCACAGGGAGTCCAGCGAGTGCTTTACCAGCCTCTCTGCTCCACATGTTTCTGGCAATCCACAAGGAATGCTTACATGGCCTACAAATGCCTCCCCTGGTGTTGGCTGTGCCAACTGTCTGGCCTCAGACCACTCGGTGCCAGGAACACAGCTTTCCTCCAGCGTCTCCCACTCGCCCATTTGCTCCGCTCCCAGCATGGCCCAGGCCCGTCCCTGAGTGTCCCAAAGCACAGTTAAGCCCAGGCTGAGAGCTACGGGAGCCAGGACCCTCCACGGGGCCCCCCGGGTCACTGCAGCGCCCAGTGTCCTCCCAGCAAGAGCAGTATCCATGACAACAAATCCCCTGAGTTCAGGTCATCAAGCGCTGGAAGTCTGGAGTAGAACCACAGACCCAGCCACGGATTTGCCCCCTTGCTCTGCCACCTGGGCCAGCCTTCCTGGGATGAACTGTGGAGCGTCTCCTTGGTGCTAAGGCCTCCAACCCAGAGCAGCATCTTGGCAAAACCAAGGCCCATGGAAGGTCTTTTCTGGAAGGGGAGCAGTCGCCTGATTCCAAGGGCAGAGGAACTGGGGGAGCCCTGCCACCCCTCCCCTTGCCACTGACCTCCAGTGGGTGGCGTGGCCCGCAGCCCACGGGAGAGCACCCCTATAGACACAGAAAAGTTCAGAGTGCTGGTGTGGCTCCTGCGGTTTCAAAGGCCAGAAAAGTACAGCCAGCCTTGACCTGTGCCTGCAGGTGGTGAGAGAGGCGGGGTTTCCTCTTTGTAAGGAGCCTGCTTACGTCACCCACGGGAAGGGTGGAAGTGGCCCCAAATGTCCCACGTTTGGGGGGAGATCCCGGCTTGCCCCTGGGCTTCACAGCTGCACCTCTCCCCTGTTCCCGGCCCAGCTGCTCTGCGCTGACCCAGTCATGTGGTCTAAGAGAGCAGACCAAGGGCATCTGCTACCGAGACAGGCAGCATGGGAAGAGAGTCAGGGGGCAACTTGGCTCCGAGGACACCTTTTCTGATGGCTCGTGGTCCTGCTGGGAAATGAAAGCAAACACAAAGCTGCACCCCACTCTTTCCATGTCCTTGCCACCCTCTGGAAATCTGCCCTGAGGCTGGTTTTGTGGCCCAGCAGGTTAGACCACCACTAGCAATGACGGCATCTCACATCTGAGTCCCGGCTGCTTCATTTCCAGTCCAGCTCCCTGCTAATGCACCTGGGAGCCTGGGAGGCAGCAGCGGGTGGCCCAAGTGCTTAGGTCCCTGCCCACCCAGGTGGGAGACCAGGATGGAGTTCCTGGCTCCAGGCTTCAGGCTGGCCCAACCCTGGCTGTTGTGGTCATTTGAAGAGTGAATGAGTAGATAACAGATCTCTCCCTCCTCTCTCTCTCTCTCTCTATCACTCTGCCTTCCCAATAAATAAATCTTAAAAAAAAAAATCCAGCCACCCCTGAGGCCAGCTGGACCTCGTGGCCATCACGTCCTAGGGGTTGTCAGGCGATCCTGGTGTCCCCACGGCAGCGGACACAGTGGTTGGGAAGAGACTTCACAGCTCCCCTACTTGCGAGCTTTGCCCCGTGTGCCGATATGGCGCTCCCGGTATAAAACTGAAGGCCGCCCTTGCTCTCGGTGCACCTCCAGTTCTGTACCCTGGGGGCCTCATGCACAGTCCTGGACAGAGACAGCAGCATTTAGTGCAACAGCAGGGAGAAGAGTAGTTCCCTCCTAGGAGTGCTTTAGTGGATTTAATGCAACGATGCGTAAATGGCCGAACCCTAGTGAGTGGATTTGCTTTGATTTATTAATTGTGATCATATTAATCATCTTATTATTATGAATCCATCTCATGAGGAGCAATAAAATGGTGTCGACTGAGAGTTAAGAGCCATTTTGCTGAGAGATGGTTAGATCTCCTTCTACCCTTGTTAACCAAAGCTGAGGTCATTTGTCAGGTTAAAAGAAGGGAGGCAGGTGTTTGGCCCAGAGGTTAAGGAGCTGAGTGGGACTCCTGCATTCCACATGCAAGTGCCTAGTTTGGAGTCCTGGCCCCGCCCCCTATTCCAGCTTTCTGCTAATGTGCACCTTGGGAGGCAGCAGGTGACAGCTCAACAGGTGGGATTCCGGCCACCCACATGGTCTCAAGAGCTGCTTTGAGTTCCAGGTTCCTGGCTTTGGCCAGGCACAACCCAAGCCATTATGGGCATTTGGGGAGTGAATCAGTGGGTGGGAGTTGTCCCCCCTTTTCCCTGTACTCCTCCCCTTCCCTCCCACCCTGCCGCCAAATAAATTTTTGAAAAGAAAAGGCAGCAGAGCTGGGCGGGTGCTCCCTTGAAACCATGTTTGGACGCTGCAGCTGGAGAAACGTGCGGCTGGCAGGGTCCTCACTGCTAGGGGGTCTCCTGCTTCAGGGAACCCAGGAGCTGGGCTTGACATTGAAACGACCTTGAGCTTGGGTCTGATCTGGCCGCACTTCCACAGGCCTTCTCGTTTTCCTCTGAGAGCCGGTTTACAACTGCTCCCTTGACTGCTGGGGAGACCACCCCAGACCCTGGAGTGAGTGTGTCACTTGCAGGAAAGAGATGCCGTTTAACCATGCAGGTCCATGTACCTCTCCTTCCAAGCCAGAGACAGGGCCTGCGGAGTTCAACGCAAGGCCTCTGAGAACGGCGCCTCCTTTTTTTTTTTTTTTTTTAAACTTGGCTCTTCTTTCTTTTGCTGTTTCCCAGCCCTGGTCCCTTTGGTCTCTGTGCCAAAGACGACAACAGCTGCAGCACTCAATTGCATGGCTCTGAATGACAGTCACCATCTCGGACCGACACGCCCCAGCTCCGAGGTGGGGGGTGCTCCTCTGAGCTGGCTCCCTGTGTTTTCCACGTGGCCTGGGAGCTGCTTGCCCAGCAGCCCCCACTGGCTGAAACCCCCCTCGGTGGACCCTGGCCTGGGGACAGGGACAGAGGTCCCGAGAGCAGGAGTGGAAGGGGCTTCGAAGCCTGGCTTTGTCACAACCTAATTCTGGCTTCAGACTTCGCCTGGGCCACGTGTCAGGTTTGTGACCCTGGACACAAAGCGACCGGGTCTATCTGTGTCCGTTTCCTTTTTTTTTTTTTTTTTTTTTTGACAGGCAGTTAGACAGTGAGAGAGAGAGAGAGAGAGAGAGAGAAAGGTCTTCCTTTTTCCGTCGGTTCACCCCCCAAGTGGCCGCTATGGCCGGCGTGTTACAGCCGGCACGCTGCACGATCCGAAGCCAGGAGCCAGGTGCTTCTTCCTGGTCTCCCATGTGGGTGCAGGGCACAAGCACTTGGGCCATCCTCCACTGCACTCCCTGGCCATAGCAGAGAGCTGGCCTGGAAGAGGGGCAACCGGGACAGAATCCAGCGCCCTGACCAGGACTAGAACCTGGGGTGCCAGCGCCGCAGGTGGAGGATTAGCCTAGTGAGCCGCGGTGCTGACCCCGCCCCCATGGTTGCGTGGTGAAGGTGGAATGAGATCCTAAGAGGGTGTTTCCAAAAGTTAGTGGAAAATACCGATTTCGAAGAGGCTTGTGTGGGTCCTAAGCATTTTTGCACCAAAATCAGTTTACCTTTTAATTCTGTTTTCCACGAACTTTGTGAGCGGCCCCCACCTGGAAACGTAAGAACTAAGCTCTCGCTTCCTGGCCGCGGGTGGCTATGGGACATTCCAGCACCTGGGCCGCACCTGACCCAAGGTGCGACGGCTGACTCCAAGGATGCTGGGCGCTGGGGCAGGCGTTTGGTTGAGCTGCAAAGGCACCAGCCAGACTCCCTGGGTTGGGTTCCTGGCTGTGGCTCCTCCTGACTCCGGCTTCCTGCTGCTGTTGACCCTGGGAGGACTGGGTTCCTGCACCCACCTGGGAGACCTGTGTTGAGTTCCTGGCTCCTGCCTTCAGCTCCAGTCCAGTCTGTGGACCATTGTGAGCAATGGGGGAGTGAACCAGTAGGAGGAAGCTTCCTTTCTCTCTCTCTCTCTCTCTCTCTCTCTCTCTCTGCCTTTCTAATAAATAAATCTTTTAAAAATTTGTTTTAAAAATTTAGAATTTTTAAAAATTTTATTTATTTATGGGAAAGGCAGAGTTACAGAGAGGCAGAGGCAGAGAGAGGGAGAGAGGTCTTCCATCCCCTGGTTCACTCCCCAGATGGCCGCAATGGCTGGAGCTGCACCCATCCAAAACCAGGAGCCAGGAGCTTCTTCTGGGTCTCCCATGCAAGTGCAGGGGCCCAAGGACTTGGACCATCTTCCACTGCTTTCCCAAGCCATAGTAGGGAGTTGAATCAGAAGTGGAGCAGCTGGGACTCGAACTGGTGTCCATATAGTATACCAGCACTGCAGGTGGTGGCTTTACCCACTATGACACAGTGCCAGCCTCAAAAAATGTTTAATTTAAATTAAGAAAATAATTAAGGACTCCTTATGTGATGTAGAACCAGCTCTGGGCAGCCATGGATGGAACGTAGGGGGTCATCAACATACAAATGTCAGCCACCACCTCTCCCAGTGCTGGAGTCGGAGGCTGCAGTGGCGACACCAAGCCCATCCAGGTCCTGGTGCCCCCTACAGTGCTCACCCAGGGGTGAGCAGTGCTCAGCGGTCAGCATACAGAGTGCCCTAGGGCCCCGGACAAGGCATGTGTCCATTACCGAAGACCTTATGCCACACAACTGCTGGGGCCAATGGTTGGGACAATCACCCAGGGACAATTTTAGACTTGTAAGTGTATGTCTCGAGCATTAATCATCCCCTTCCTTCTGACAGAAACACTGACTTTGCCCTGTCATTTCTGTGCCTTTCCCAGGCCATGACGATGGATGGGGTGAGCCTCAGCCCCGAGGTGGTGTACAAGAAAGGCCAGGATTATAGGTTCGCTTGCTACGACCGGGGCCGGGCCTGCCAGGGCTACCGTGTGCGGTTCCTGTGCGGGAAGCCTGGTGAGCAGCTCCGGGACAGGGACCCAAACGCAACCAAGACACCATCCCTGGAGCTGGCAGCCGGCACTGCCAGCCGCTGTGGCCGGGTCAGCTGCCGCCAGGCTCTGGGTGACACAGGACAGAGGGAGAGCCCCGCCCTGCCTGTGAGCCCTTCAGGAAAGGGAAGGGCTGGGTCCCAGAGACGTAGGGTGCGGATGGACAGGGCTGCCCTCTCCCGCGGGGACAGGCAGCTCCTCTTCTCTGTAGATGCTGTTATTTTTTTAAACCCAGTTCCTGGGGTGCTTGTTGCAAGAGGGGGCAGTGGCAGGGTTGTTCACGGAGGCACTTGGCCAGCGCCAGAAGGCAGTCATTAGGGGTGGGAGCTCTGTGGTCAGGAAGGGCTTACTAAATGATAGTGGACAGGAGCGATCGGCGTTTTACGTCTTGAGCAGGGTGGGTGGGGTGAGGCAGCCACGTGGAAGGCCAGCTAAGAAGCAAGTGGAAAATTCCCCAGCCCAGAGCTAATGAATAGCTCTTTTCTGGTGGGGATTTTATTGACTTCAAAAACCTGGATGAGGCCTGGCGTGCAGCAAGCCTGGTGATTTGGGGTTTGGATAGGCAAGCCCGGCATTTACTTACTCAGGGAAGGGGAGGGAAGGGCGGGGCGGAGGTAGGCAGCCGTGAGTTTGCCAAGAGCAAAGGGTTGGGTCTCAGTTCTTCCCGTTCTGCGTTCCAGTGAGGCCCAAGCTGACCGTCATCATCGACACCAACGTGAACAGCACCATCCTGAACTTGGCGGACAGCGCAGAGTCGTGGAAGCCCGGGGACACCCTGGTGGTCGCCAGCACCGATTACTCCATGTACCAGGCCGAAGAGTTCCAGGTGCTACCGTGCAGAACGTGCACCTCCACCCAGGTCAAAGTGGCAGGTGGGAGCCTCGTCTCGCTAGATGGACTCAGTCTGAGAATTGCTAGGCGCGAAGCAAATGGAAATCACAAGCCGACACCTGCGGCGCTGGCACACCGGATTCTAGTCCCGGTCGGGGCGCCGGTTCTGTCCCGGTTGCCCCTCTTCCAGGCCAGCTCTCTGCTGTGGCCAGGGAGTGCAGTGGAGGATGGCCCAAGTGCTTGGGCCCTGCACCCCATGGGAGACCAGGAGAAGTACCTGGCTCCTGCCATCGGATCAGTGCGGTGTGCCGGCCACAGCGCACCGGCCGAGGTGGCCATTGGAGAGTGAACCAATGGCAAAAGGAAGACCTTTCTCGCTGTCTCTCTCTCACTGTCCACTTTGCCTGTCAAACAAAAAAAAGAAAGAAAGAAATCACAGCACCTCTGTATCACTCAGCTCGGGCTGTCCTCTTGCCGTGTAGCAGAAAGCAAGCTTCCAACCCCAGGCAGGCATTTGTTTCTCACTCATGCTCTGTAGGTTGTCTGGGCTGTAGCTTCTGGAGACTGAGCTGGCTCCAGGACGAGAACTGAGCTCGGGTTGGCTCCGTGTGGTTCACGGTCTTCCTGGGACACGTTCTTCTCGTGTGGAAGCCCCCAGGGGCTGAAAGGAAACACAAGGTCTCTCTTCACAACCACAGTCCATCAGCACGTGGCCCAACACAGATAGGATGGGGAAGACTATTTCTCCCACCAACACTGACAGGGAGGGAGCTGCAAGGTGGCAAAGTGGGTTAAGCCACCTGCAGTACCGGCATCTCGTGTCAAAGTACCAGATCCTACATGGCTGCTCCGGTTCCGGTGTGGCTCCCTGCTAATGCCCACCCTGGGAAGACATCGGAAGATGACCCAAGGACTTGGGAGACCCTGATGGAGCTTCAGGCTCCTGGCTTTGGCCTGGCCCCATCTGGGCCACTGTGGTCATTAGGTCATTAGGGCAGTGAACCAGCAGATGGAAGATATGGTGATGATGGTGGTGAAAGACTTAGGAGGATGGAATGAAGATTAGAAAAAGTGTCGTCTACCACAAAGTTCTAATCTCTTCTCCCAGTAGCTTTTGGGTTTCCCCTTTTACTTCCCCTAAATCTGGACTTGGCTGCGCTACAGAATGCCACGTGAAGTTCCTGGAATCACCGATTGTTAGAGGTACAAGGAGACCTCGGGTGCGATCCAGGTCACCGTGCATCACAGGTGGAGTTGTGTGTCAGTCGAGGTGTTTTGGTTGTGAGCAGCAGAACCTGACTTGATTGCCTTAAGCAAGAAAAGGGGGCTTATTGGGAGGCCGTTCAGCTTTGAGAAGTAAAGTAGAAACAGAACACCCACCCAAGGCACAAAGGGACAAGAACAAGGTGGCTTCAGGGACCCGAGGGGCAGGAACTAATGGGGGAGGGCGTCCTTGGGGCGTCACTACCTTTAACAACCATGCTTAGTCCCCAGGGTCAAGTGCATAGGTCACTCATGGGACAGAGCACCTGGCTGGGGCGTGGTCCTTTGGCTGCGAGAGGTGGGGACCTTCCCAGGCAGCCTTTTCGGAGCAGCCTGTCTCAGCGCAGAGCCCCTGAGGGATTTGGCTGCTCGGGGGTTTCCATGTGGACCGCAGCCCAGCGCCTCGTGTGCATGGCTCTTTGTGGCTAACTCATGGGTAGGAGATAGGGACATGGATGGGTCACATTCCGTGATGGCATTCCGGGAAATGCACCTGTTGCTTCTGTGTTGTCCAGGGTAGAGGCAGACATAGCACAAAGAGCATTAAAAGCCTAGACCCCTGGAACAGGGCATCTGGGGTCTGAATTCTGGGAGCCCCAGACCTTAGCTCTATGGCCTTAAAAGTGATGCAGACTCTCCCTGCCTCAGCTTCTTCATCTGTAGAATGGGGATAATGATCACGACCTCCTCGTGGGATTGCTGTGAGAGTCAGAGGAGCTTATGTATGTGAGGTGCTCCAAATAGTACCTGACCCATAGTAAGTGCTCGGTCTCAATGAAATCATTAATCATTAATAGTCAGTGCCGTGGTTTAGCCACGAGAGAAGGGAAGGAAGAAAGGGCATGATAGGTCAGTGGCTGAAGCTGGTATATTTTATCGCTTCTCAATTCCAGTCTCTTGGGTCACGCAAGGAGAAAGTTTTGTAAGGCGAGGGAAGCAAATTATTTCTATCCTAATTATTTAGCCACCCCTGGGGTCGTTCCCAGGCCACACCCTTGTTCCATGGAGACACCCGCAGGGCAGGAGCATTGCATCATGTATGCAACAAGCAATTAAGCACACAAATCATGTGCCAGGCCATGCGCCAGGCTTGTGGATGCCACGGTGAGCAAGACAGATGTGTTCACTGCCCTCAGGGAACCTGCAGTCCGGCAGGGAAGAGAGACGGCCATCAAAGCAGCACTCCAATAAAAATAAACTTGCAACCCTGACAGCTGCTGGGAGAGCCGAGGCTGGGAGCCCCAGAGGCACAAAGAAAAGGCATTTGGCCAAGGCAGGGCAGGCTGGGAGCCTTCCCAGAGGAATTAATGGTGGAGATGTGAGCTGGAGGAAGAATGGGAGCTAGTGGGTGGGGGGGGAGGGACATGGTGGTGGGTGAGGTCCCTGGGCTGGGGGCAGAGGGAACCTTCCAGCTACATAGAGGGCCAGAGCGGCAGGAGTGGAGAGCGTGGGAGCTGCGTGGAGCTGGAGACAGAGGGCAGGGCCGTGGCACTGAGGTTTTATTTTGTGCGCACGGAGAAGTCACTGCAGGGCAGAAGCCTGCAGCGTTTCCCTGGCCAGGATAGGCTTCCAAAATCTGCTGTTAGGGGAAGAGGAGTGAGTGCCTGGAGGCTGTGAGGCCCTTGGGTCTGCACCAGCTCCCTGCTGGGTCCCCTCGGGGCCAGCACTCTGGCAGGGGGCAGATGCCCTCCCCATCCCCGACCCCTCGACAGTGGTGACACTCAGACCATTTGATGTCCGGTGGTCCGTGGTCCTGGGGCGGCATTTGTGGCCATCCAGGAGGGTGACCATGAGCTCCCCCGTCTGCCTAGTTGGGGAGGGAGAGCAGCCCTCATTTGCACCCCCGTTGTCCCACATTCCAGTGCCTGGGTTTGATTCCCTGCTGTGGCTTCTGACTCCAGCTTCCTGCTAATACAGACCCCGGAGGCAATGATGATGCTTAAGTTCCTGCCACCCATGGAGGAGACCTGCATTGAGTTCCGGGCTCCTGGTGGGGCCACTGTGGACATTTAGGGAGTGGGCCAGTGGGTGGGAGCTCACTCTCTCCCCGTCTCTGCCTCTCAAATTAACAATCAATTATTTCAAAGAAACCTCAGGGCAAGGCCAGTGTTCAAAGCCCCCTGGAGGCTACCGCCCAGAGCCCTTCTGCTCCCCAGGCCTCCTCCCTGCCTACCCAGGGTACTCTGGACCATTTGGGACAAATCTGAGTCGGCCACGCCTGCTTCTCCCTGGTGGGCCTTCCTGCAGCAGGAAGGGAGGGGTGGAGGCTGCTGGGAGAATTCTGCAGACAGGATAGGATGTGCAGAGGGCGTGGGGCATGCAGCCTCCCTAGGAGAGCTGGCTGGGAGTAGCCTGTGAATAGTAGGGCAGATAACCCCGCTGCCCAGCCCACTGCGGAGCTCAGCGAGGGTCCTGATAAGGAGCAGGCGGAGCGAGCGGCGGAGGCCATGAGACTGATGATTCCAGGCCGCTCTCACCAGGATCCCGATAAACGCAGCCCCTCCCACTACCTGGAAGTCACTCCTACACCCTCATGGGACAGCCGCCAAACCTGCTATCCACCAACTCCTATCACTGCAGGCCGGACACCCAGTGGCTCCCAGGCTGGATTTGGGGGCAGTGCCAGGGCCAGCTACACACGTCATTTCTCTCTCTTTCTCTCTTTCTCTCTTTCTCTCTTTCTCTCTCTCTTTCTCTCTCTCTTTCTCTCTCTCTCTCTCTCTCTCTTTCTCTCTCTCTCTCTCTCTTTCTCTCTTTCTCTCTTTCTCTCTTTTTTTTTTGACAGACAGAGTGGACCGTGAGAGAGAGACAGACAGACAGACAGAGAGAAAGGTCTTCCTTTTGCCGTTGGTTCACCCTCCAATGGCCACTGCGGCCGGCGCATCGCGCTGATCCGAAGCCAGGAGCCAGATGCTTATCCTGGTCTCCCATGGGGTGCAGGGCCCAAGCCCTTGGGCCATCCTCCACTGCACTCCCGGGCCATAGCAGAGAGCTGGCCTGGTAGAGGGGCAACTGGGACAAAATCCGGCGCCCCAACCAGGACTAGAACCCCGTGTGCTGGTGCCGCAGGTGGAGGATTAGCCTGTTGAGCCACGCACCGGCCCACACGTCATTTCTGCGACACTGGCCTCCTTCCACATGCAGGTGTTGTTGGAAGCACATCCCACATTTAGGGATCATAGCTACCTTTGGAGATAGGCATCATCATTACCTCCACTTTTTAAAAGATTTACTTATTTGAAAGGCAGAGCCACAGAGAGAGAAGAAGAGTGGTTCCATCCACTGGTTCTCTTCCCCAAAAGGCCACAATGACCAGGGCTGGGCCAGGCCAAAGCCAAGAGCTTGGAACTCCATCTGGGTTTCCTATATAGGTGCAGGGGCCCAAGCATTTGGGCCAACTTCTGCTGCTTTCCCAGGCCATAGCAGAGAGCTGGATCAGAAGTGGAGCAGCCGGGATGCGAACCAGTACTCACATGGGGATGCCAGTGTTGCAGGTGGCAGCTCAACCTGCTGAGCCATGATGCCAGGCCCTGGAAACTAGTTTTTAAAAAGGACCCTGCAGTAGGCTGAAAAATGGCCCCAATCTTGTCCACAGCGCATCCTCAGTGCCTGTGACGGTGGCCTTACGTGGCTAAAGGGACTTTTCCAGTGTGATGCAGCATGGCTCTGGGGAGGGCACGCCAGCCTGGGTTTTCTGAGTGGACCCAGTGCACTCACAAGCATCATTCCTCAAAGACACGGGAGGGCCAGAGAGGAGCCCGCGAGGTATTGGCAGAACAGAGCAGGGTGCTGTTGTATTGAAGATGGGGACACAAGCCAAAGCAAACAGGCAGCTTCTAGCACCCCAAAGACGCCAGGAACAGCTTCCCCTCTGGAGCCTCCACAAGGACCCAGCCCTGCTGACACCTTGAGTTTGGCCCCTTAGCACTCACTGCAAGCTCTGGTCTCCATGACTGGAAGATGACAGCTTTGCACGGTTTTAAGCAAGGAAGGTCATGGTCATTTGTTACAGTAGCAACAGAAAACCAATACCAGCTCTGTAAGTCAACACCATCAGGCATCCGTTTTGCATCTTGAACTACAGTGCTCCAAAGAAACCACTCTCAGGGCTGGCGCTGTGGCACAGTGGGTTAAAGTTCTGGCCTGCAACACCGGCATCCCATATGGGTGCTGGTTCGAGTCCTGGATGCTCCTCTTCCAATCCAGCTCTCTGCTATGGCCTGGGAAAGCAGTAGAAGATGGCCCAAGTCCTTGGGCCCCTGCACCCACATGGGAGACCCGGAAGAAGCTCCTGGCTCCTGGCTTTGGATCTGCCCAGTTCTGGCCATTGCAGCTATTTGGGGAGTGAACCAGTGGATGAAAGATTTATGTCTCTCCCTCCCTCCCTCTCCCTCTCTCTCTCTCTCTCTCTCTCTCTGCTCCACCTCTCTCTGTAACTCTGTCTTTTAAATAAATAAAATACATCTTTTTAAAAAAGAAAGAAAAGAAACCACTATCTCCAAGACAGTACACACCCTTAACTGAGTTGCAGGCTCCCAGGATGTGCCAGGGTGGAGGTGGGCAGGGCCAGTTCCCTGGGGTGGGTGTTAATTATACCCTCACCCTGCACCTGTGGGCAGTGAGGCTCAAGTCAAGGTCAGAGTGAAAGCCACGTGGTGTAGGCAGGTGTGTGGCTGGGAGTCCATGTGGGAACGTTGCCCTCTGTAAGTGCTTCGTTTACAAGTGGGCTCAGCGACCTCAGCAGTGAGCCACCCTGAGCCAGGCTTGGGTCTCTTTATTCCGGAAAAAAGAACCTGGGATTGTGGTGGAGGCAGAATCAGGGGCTGTAAATCTGCCTGGGTGGGGAGGAGGAGGAAGAGGAGGAGGAGGAGAGAGCAAGTGGAAAAGCAAGTGCATTTGGCAAGGAACTGATGTGGGTGGGGCAGGGGAGGCAGGTAAGCCCCTGGCTTCAAGGGCCTGAAGCAGGTGGGTGGGCAGAGGGCACAGAGCAGCTCTCCCTGCAGGGTCAGAGCGGGAAGCAGGGCATGCCTAGGTCTGCGAGGCGCGAGCTCTCCTGCTGTGTTCCACGAGGAACAGCAGTTCTGCTGAGGCTCCTGCCCAGGCACCAGCCTGCAGCAGCTCGACCTCACTGAGGATGAGAAAGCAGACAGGGATGTGCCGTTTTCACAGAAGAGGATTTGCAGGGAGAGAAAGAGAGTTCTACCTTCCTAGGAAGCCCGGCTGGCAGGCAGGAGAGGGCGTAAGCTCTGTGGGTGATCAGAGACCAGGTTTCTTGTGCCACTCTGCCATCTCCAGGGCACGCGGTTGCCACCTGCATGGGCGCGGCTGGCCCGCCCCGGGGAAGAGCAGGTGCAGGCGCTTAGAATTCTGCCCATACCTGTTGGCTCCAGCTAACTGCGGGGAGGCGGGGGCGTGTCGCTGCCCTGGGAGATTCAGGGGAATCCAGTACCAGGGAGCAGAAGAGGGGATGGGGGGTTAGCATTTCTGCTGTGGCCTTCAGACCTGAGCCTGGGAATCCAGGCTCTACATTCAGGCGCCGGACTTCAGCCCTGAGACCCGGGGCCCAGCGTGCGCTCAGGGCACTGTGGGAGGAAGTGGCGGTCATGGAGGGGAAGCCCTGCAGCAGCCCAGGATGTTAGAACCAGGTGGGCTTCTGGTCCCTGTGCTGGCTCACCCTCCACCCTCTCTGCTCCAGGGAAGCCCAAGTACCTGCACACCGGGGAGGAGGTAGACGGCGTGGACATGCGTGCCGAGGTCGGGCTCCTGAGCCGGAACATCGTGGTGCGGGGAGAGATGGAGGACGAGTGCTACCCCTACAGCAAGTACATCTGCCACTTCTTTGACTTCGACACCTTTGGGGGCCACATCAAGGTACAGCTGCCGTGGATAAGACTTCCCAACGTGCCAGCCTGTGATGGGGCGGGGGGCGGAGCCTCCTGCTGGGGAAGGGGCTGGGGGCGGGCAGCAGGAGGGGTCCAAGGAAGAGAGCCTTCCGGGAGCTGGAGACGTCTCACGTCTCATCTCCCAGCCCCGTGGTACCAGGCATACCCACCCTGAGCCTACATCTCCTGCCTTCCTTCTTTAAATCCTGGTCACTTCCTGGAAGAGGCAGCTCCTCACAGCAAGTCACAACGACAAGGGGCCCATTACAGTGCAGACGAAAGAAGGCGAGGGAATAGGTTAGAGCTGCTGCACTAACCTTGCCTGTGAGTTTGCGGTAGAGGCTGCTGAGCGGGGCTCTCACGGCACGGGGAAGGAAAGTGACCCGGGCTCCCTGGAGCTCTTGTCTTCTACCAGAAAGCACGGAGAGGATTACTCTCTCCTCTCCTCCCCAGAGCCCTGTCCTGGGCCTTGCAAAGAGCCGACACCTGCAAGTTCTTCGTGGCATCGTGGGCTCTGATGCTGGAGGCCTGACGCCACCCTGGAGTTTGCTAGGGACCTGCTCTCTGCCGCTCACGGACAGGACGCAGGGCATCCAGCGGAGCAGACTAAGGGAGGGAGACCTCCAGGACCCGAGCAGAGGTCCTGCGTCTCTCGGGAGGTCGTGGTGTGATGTCCAAACCTGCAAGCCAGCACTTCTGTCGACCTTGACCCCACTGATGCAAGGCTCCCAGGGCTGCCTGGTCATTGTCACCACCATTTCCTGTCGCTCCCAGGGGTGGAGGGAGGGGCGAGGGTGGCGGTGCTGCCACACATGCACACACTCTCACACACTGACACACTCACACACACTCAAATTCACATACACATGCAATTACACACACAAGTACACACATATACATTCATGTACACACATGTTCACATATATACACACATACTCAGACACTCAAATTCACACACATGCATACATACACTCACACACATACTCACAGATACACATTCATGTACACACACATGTTCACATACACTCACACATATACATTCACATACACACATTCCTGTACACACACATGTTCACATACATTCACACACATACAGACACACACTCAAATTCACAAACACGTGCATACACACACTCACACAATACATTCACGTACACACATTCATGTACATACACATGTTCACATACATACACACACATACACACACTCAAATTCACAAACACACGCATACACACACTCACACATATACATTCACATACACACATTCATGTACACACACATGTTCACATACATACCCTCACACACATACTCATAGACACACACTCAAATTCACAAACACATGCATACACACACTCACACATGCATTCATGCACACACACATGTTCACATGCATACACTCACACACACTCACACGCATACACACACTCACACTCAGACTCACCACCCAAGCACAGGCTTGGGGAGATGCCAGCATCAGCACCCCCTTCCTCCCACCAGGAGAAGGTCTCAGATGGCAGATGATGCCACAGGATCCACCGAACCCAGATTCCCCAGCCCTCCAGGGTCACGCTTCTGCCCCCTCCCCTAGTTAGCACAGGGCTCTCTCTCTTCCTGTGTTGCTCAGTGGCCTAGGAGGCCAGAGAGGCAGCTAGAGCAAGCCCAGCGAGGGCATCCCCACTCCAAGCCGTCCACTGTCTGTGACATCCTCTAATGTCGGGTCTGCCCAATTGGTCTCCATGGTCGGCGTCAGGGGGGTCGGGCTTCCCAGCCCCTCTGCAGAGAACACCTCTCATTTCCTGAGTGCCCGGGCGGGGTCCCCCACCCCACAGCACCTCTGCATTCTTGGGACATGCACCCCGGGCCCCAGGAAACAGGAGGTGCCTCGGGGGGTCCCTTCTTACTCTCGTCTCTCTTCTCCCAGTTTGCTCTGGGGTTTAAGGCGGCTCACCTGGAAGGCGTGGAGTTAAAACACATGGGGCAGCAGCTGATAGGTCAGTACCCAATCCACTTCCACCTGGCCGGGGATGTGGACGAAAAGGGAGGCTATGACCCGCCCACCTACATCAGGGACCTGTCCATCCACCACACCTTCTCTCGCTGCGTCACCGTCCACGGCTCCAATGGCCTGCTGGTAAGCACCTGTTTCCCTGGGACAGCAGCACGGGGACAGGCCCAGGGGTGGTTAGCACTGGAAGGTGTTTGGCTCCCTATGGCCATTGGCGGTTGAACCATCCTTAGCTTACATGTTAGAAAGACATCCATGGAGGGCAGGTCACTGAGATAACAGGAAGGAGAAAATTGGGGTGCGTCTTTAGCCAAGGCACCAGTCTTTGAGATGGGTGAGTGATTCGTTTGCTGTGGTTGCTGGGAGTCTGGTTCCTCCTGTGTCACATTGGAATGATGTGAAATCCCTGGGTCCTTCCAGGGCCACACAGCACAACAGCTCTGCTACCTGCAAATGAGGGAACCGTGCCAGGACTCTGGCAGCCTGGAGGTGAAGGGCCCTTCTCTCCTCCCATCCCAAGTGGTCTCAGAGCAGGTGCTGCTGGGAGATATAGCTACGCTGGTACATGAGTGCGTGCACCAGAGCCTTGTCTTGATTTTCACAGATAATCCGTGCACTAAACTGACCCTTCTCTAAATGAACTCCACTTATGCCCTGTCTAAACTTTAAAACTGGATATCACACAGTGGCACCCCAAGCTGAGGCCAGAAGCAGATGTGAGTTTTGTTGTTGTTGTGTTTGGCTTACACCATCTGTACACACTTGATTGTCTTTACAACTCTACTGATGTTGCTGCATCAAACTGAGCTCTCTCTGTAAAGGAACCATACTTCCGTCCTCTGCAAACTTTAAAATCACATGTTGCAAAATGACACAGTGCACCCGGGGCTCGGCAGGCAGCTGTGTTTCATGCAGTTTCGTTTGAGTTGGTGTCTGTAATTTAATAACAGATTCTCCATAAAAATCTGGATCCCCGGCTTCTCTGGAAAAGTAAGATGAGTAGGTAAAGTAGGAAGGGTTAGAAGCACTGGATCCAGTGCCTTCCTGGGCAGCTCCATGGATGGAGCAGTCACAGCTGCCCCTGCTAAGCTGGGTGTGCCTTCCCCAGCATGCACTGGGCGCAGCATTGACTATTACATTACAGTAAATACCCGGAGTCTATAATCACCGTGAATACACCAGCCCTGTCGCTGTCTATTACAGTGCCCCAAGTCCCCGGGCGGCTGCCACTCATCTCAATGCCTGCTGCCCACCGTGAGCATTTATGTCTGTGGCTCGCCAGGAGGGTGGAGGTGGAACGAGGCGTGGGGGCTCTGAGTGCGTCACTTCCAGTGCTAACGGATGTGCTCTTCTATCTCAAAGCAGTGCCAATCATCTCTGTTTTAAATGTTTGGATTTAGAAGCCTCCCACTGAGCTTAGAAGCAAGCACAGGAGGAGAGCATTGTGGTGTAGCAGGTTAAACCACCACGTGTGAAGCCAGCATATCCCCTATCAGAGCGCTGGTTCGAGTCTCGGTTGCTCCACTTCCTATAGAGCTACTTGCTAACGCACCTGGGAAGGCAGCAAAAGGTGGCCCAAGTGTGTGGGCCCTGCCACCCGTGTGGGGGACCCAGATGGAGTTCCTGGCTTTTGGCTTCAACCTGGCCCAGACCTGGCTGTTGTGGCCATTTGGGGGAAAAAACAGCAGATAGAAGATCTGAGCATGGCTCTGAGTGATGGCCTTGAACTTGATCTCAGCCGCCCCTGCGGCCTTCAATAGCCCACGTTTCCTTGCCTTCTCTGCTGTGTTTGTCTTCCCGGGCTATTTATAACCCACTCTCATGGCTCGCCAGGAGAACAGGAAGTGGTTCCACTGGGTGACCCTGGTATCGACTGAAATACTTACTGAGGGAGTAAATAGGATTCATGATCACACCCCTGCCATTTCCAAAGGCAACAGGGGAGGGTTGCTTATTCAAGAGAGCAGAGAGCTGGCCTGGAACAGGGTGCTTGTGTGCCTGGAGCCTCCCCGATCCAGTGAGTGAACACAGTTAGATAGACCGCGGTTTCGGCCACCGCTTTGCTCACTGGGGCTGTGTGATCTTGGTCGGATCATGTGACTTCTCTGTATCTCATTTCAAAAAAGAGAAGCCTGTCGGAGGGTGGTGTGAGATTTCGGCAAGGTGAAGAGGTATTAGCAACCAGCCCAGCACTGCGACATGAAGGTGCCTGGGTCCGGGGCCTGGGGGGACAGGGGACGGTGCTAGCTGCCTGGTCCCTGGGGAGCAGGCAGGTGTCACAGGGGAGATTCTGGAGGTGCTGGGGTGCTTTCCCTAGGTGAGTAGTTTTCAGTCAGGGGTGGTTTTGTAACATCCGGACTCCCCATGCCCCTACACACACACACACACACACACACTAATGTCCTGTCTCCCCATGCCCCTACACACACACACACACACACACACACACACTAACATCCTGTTGCCCCATGCCCCTACACACACACACACACACACTAACGTCCTGTCTCCCCATGCCCCTACACACACACACACACACACACAATGTCCTGTCTCCCCATGCCCAACACACACACACACACACACACTAATGTCCTGTCTCCCCATGCCCCTACACACACACACACACTAACATCCTGTTGCCCCATGCCCCTACACACACACACACACACACTAACGTCCTGTCTCCCCATGCCCACACACACACACACACACACACAACATCCTGTCTCCCCATGCCCCTACACACACACACACACACACACTAACGTCCTGTCTCCCCATGCCCCTACACACACACACACACACACACTAACATCCTGTCTCCCTATGCCCCTACACACACACACACACACACACTAACATCCTGTCTCCCTATGCCCCTACACACACACACACACACACACACAAACGTCCTGTCTCCCCATGCCCACACACACACACACAACATCCTGTCTCCCCATGCCCCTACACACACACACACACACACTAATGTCCTGTCTCCCCATGCCCCTACACACACACACACATACACACACTAACGTCCTGTCTCCCCATGCCCCTACACACACACACACACACATACATGCACACTAACGTCCTGTCTCCCCATGCCCCTACACACACACACACACACATACACGCACACTAACGTCCTGTCTCCCCATGCCCCTACACACACACACACACACATACATGCACACTAACGTCCTGTCTCCCCATGCCCCTACACACACACACACATACACACACTAACGTCCTGTCTCCCCATGCCCCTACACACACACACACACACACACTAACGTCCTGTCTCCCCATGCCCCTACACACACACACATACACACACACAGTAGAAAATTGGACAAAGATCTGCAGGCAATGTCACCATCAAGGGTGCTGCTGGCATCTACTGGGTGGAGGCCAGGGCTGCTGCAAAGCCCCCCGAAATGCCCAGGACGGCCCCTGAGAGGTTAGCTGTGCTGGTGGGTGGGGGCAGGGGATGCTGCGTGGATCTTCCGGGGCCTGGCGTGGCTGAAGTCTTTCATAGTTGTGGGTTGAACGGGTGTCCTGGGGAGCAGGGTGAGGGTTGTTGGTTGGATGAGGGTTGGTACCCGTGGGTGGGCATGAAGGTGAAAGATCTCAGGATAAGCGCTCTGTGCCTCTTCCTCGGCCCACGGTGGAGCAGGCCACCCCACGAGGTACTGAGCATCCCTAGGGGATGTGCGTGGAGGCAGGTGCCTGCTAGCTGGCGATGCCTGCCTTGGACGTGGCGGTGGGGTTCAGGCCAGGGACCCTGTGAGGACCTTTGTGCTCTGAGCTTGATGGATTCAAGCATGCAGATCCAGAAGGGGCCTCGGAGAGCAGAATTGAAGTCCCGGGTGGGAGGTGATTGGAGACAGCACGGACGCTGTGCTGGCGGGAGCGCTGCTGCGGCTGCGTCTCTGGTCTCCCGATGTCTGCTCTCTGCTTCCTCCACTGAGTCTGTGGCTGCAGGAAGGACATGGAAGGGCTGGAGGGTGCAACCTTTTAAGTTCCTCACCCAGGGATTGCAAATGAGGCTTGACACACACCGTGGACTTAAAATCTGGGCTTGGATCCATGAATCAGGGCACAATGGGGAGCACCAATATTGATCTTAGAATAAAGTCCTACCTGGTCCAGCTCAGGTGCCGACTCTGGGATGCAGCCAGCACCACTCCCTGTACTCCGGGACGTCTCCTCTGGGGATCCCTCGGACTAAGTCCTTGTAGGCTGAGACCTCACCAGAGTCGGCTCATGTGGCCCGGGCCGTGGTCTCCTCTTGGAGCCCCCTACTCACACAGGACATTTTGTCCCCTTTCCTATCCCCATGGAGCCTGGTCCCCCAGTGCCCCCAGCTGGAGGGGACTTAAAGTCACTCTTCCATCCCCCTGCTCCTCCCTCCCCAGCTCCAACACCTGTGCCAGGTCCATCTCCGACCTGGTGTTGGTTGACCGACTGCATGAGCACATGAATCGTGGGGCGCTTGGTGACGCATCCTGTGTTGACCCCGGCAGGTCAAGGACGTGGTGGGCTATAACTCCTTGGGCCACTGCTTCTTCACGGAAGACGGGCCCGAGGAACGCAACACCTTCGACCACTGCCTGGGCCTCCTGGTGAAGGCGGGGACCCTCCTCCCCTCGGATCGTGACAGCAAGATGTGCAAGATGATCACGGAGGACTCCTACCCCGGCTACGTGCCCAAGCCCAGGCAGGACTGCAAGTAAGTGCCGCCCGGCTCCGGGCACGGAGCGCCTGCGCCCAGGCGGGGGCGGGCACCCGTGAGCAGGTGCTCACTCGGCCTCTCAGCTCAGCCCCGGGGGAGCACACGTCTGAGCGGTGTGGGTCTCTCGGACCTTAGCCGCCGATGCTCACGGCTCCCCGGAGACACCTCCTCGCCTCTCCCTTCTCCGTCTGCCCCAGGTGCGTGGTTCTGTCCCAACAGAGCCCCTCTTCTCACTAATGCTGCGTGGGCTTCCTTCATGACAGGACGTGGGGTGCCGCCATGGCTCCTGCCGTGAATCCAGGCCCCGGCTCCCACTTGGTCATCCTCATCTAGACACGACACGGAGACAGACCTCCCCGTGCGCCTGGGCTTCCGGTCCAGAGTCTGCCCCCCCTTAGAAACGGCCAGCGAGCCGCTCTGAGCTCTTCCACCTTACCTGTCCTTTCCAGCCAATCTCAGAGTCCATCCACAAATTGCTTCTCCCTAAGGACCATGTCCTTGTTGAGAGAGGGAGGGAGAGAGAGAGAGAGAGAGACAGATCTTCCACCTGCTGGTTCACTCCACCCCCCAGAAAGGGGCACAGCCGTCAGGGCTGGGCCAGACTGAAGCCAGAAGCCTGGAACTCCATCCTGGTCTCCCACGCGGGTGCAGGGGCCCAAGCACTTGGCCATCTTCTGCTGCTTTCTCAAGTGCATAAGCTGGATCAGACGTAGAGCAACCCGGACTGGAGCAGGTGCTTCGATATGGGATGCCGGTGTCGCAGGCGGCAGCTTAACCCACCACGGGCCAACACCAGCTCCCCCCACCCCCTGCTTTCCAATGTCTGAACATTGGAAAGCTTAATGAGAAAACCGGGGTTCAGACAGGCACAGCACTGACCCCTCACATGTCTGACACTGGAGTGTCACCGTGTGACTTAAGGAGCGCTGTGGCTCTTGACGTGACACCTCTGTCCCCTCCCACAGCGCCGTGTCCACCTTCTGGATGGCCAACCCCAACAATAACCTCATCAACTGTGCCGCCGCGGGATCGGAGGTGAGCAGAGAGTGGGGGCGGGGCTTGGGGCGGGGAGACAGTTACGCTCACCCCTGGAACTCGCCAGACAGCCCGGGCCCTGGCTGGGGTGAAGTGGGGGTGGACAAGCAGACTCGGTTCTAAATGACAGCTCTGTCATTGCACCATAAGTGGTGGTCGGAGCTCAGGCCGCCTGGGTGCTTTATGTATAACAACTCATTATTCAGTGAAATTGTTTTGGCTTAGAAGGGTCCCTGGCATCTCACTCACATAATGATTCTTGCATCCACTTTGTGATGTAGGCACTGCTATTGTCCCCCTCTGGTGGGAGGTGTGGAGGAAGAGGGAGTGGGGGAGGGAGAGCAAGGCCCCAGGGGTGCACAGAGCTGGGAGGTGGCAGGTAGGACATAAGCACAGCACTCTGTCGACACAGCCCTGCTCTGACCAATGCAGCCATGTTATTGGCCTGACCCTGACCCTGACCCTGACCCTGACCCGGTCAGTTGTTGTCTCTGGGCCTCAGCTTCTGTAACTACAGAATGAAAGGGAACAGCTGAGAGCCACTGGTGAACTTTGCTGAGTCAGAGGAGGAGCTGAACCCCGCGGTGACCCTGAAACCCAGCAATCAAGAGCCCACCGTGGCCAGCAGGGTGTGAGCCTGGAAAGGGTCTCAATGTCACAGTGGACCCCAGAAATTACACATGCTGCCTCCCTCCAAGAACCAGGCCACGTGGAGGTGTGCAGGGCTGGCTGGGTGGCCAGGGCCTGCTCGGGTGACAGCCCCAGCTCCGCCACCACTGTGCCACCCCGCCACTCCAGGCACACAAGTGCCCGCTCCACTGTGGCGGGCCCCTGGGTCACCCTGACCAGGAGCTTGCTGGTGCTGGGCCCCCTGGCTTTACCCTGTGCCTTGCCTCCACAGGAAACGGGATTTTGGTTCATTTTCCACCACGTCCCGACGGGTCCCTCGGTGGGCATGTACTCCCCGGGTTATTCCGAGCACATTCCGCTGGGAAAATTCTACAACAACCGGGCACATTCCAACTACCGGGTGAGTCTTCCCAGACCTTCCCGGGCCTGGACGGCCGCTCGCCTGTGGCTGGGCGCAACTGCAACCCCCTGGTGTGGGTCTCGGAGGAACCAGAGAGGCATCTCAGGTGCAGGGGTCACACAGCTGTCAGAACGCGGAGGACGCGTCAGCCACTTGCTGAGACTCAAACACCCCCTCCCCCACCCCTCCGGCTCCCCAGGGGCCTCCCCAGGGGCAATGAGGTGGGCCATGGAGCTGGGAGGTTGGGAGAGGCTGGGAAGGAATGCGAATTCCAGGGTGGTTTTCAACAGGAGCTGGGTAAGGGCACTGGGCCCAGGTGGAGCAGTGGCCTTAAGTGAGGCAGCACCAGGTGCAGGGTGGGACAGGGGCGAAGAGGAGGCACCTGCTGGATTGTGGGGTTCTCTGAGCAGAAGCGGGGGGTCCCTGCCTGGTGAGCCTCAACCCAACGCCCTTAGCGAGAGCCATCTTCACCTGGGACATCCCAGCTTGGGTTGGCTGAGTGACCTCAGACAAGATGCTTCCACAGCCTCAGTTTCCCCAATTGTACCTCAAAGCCTTCTTCCAGATTTAGTGCAAGCAATGCAGAAGGTGGCGGGTTCCTCCCCTCCCTCCTCATAGGCCCCTCTGCTCCCCTGAATGCAGCCGAGAGCCAGGCTGGGCCGATCCAAAGCCAGGAGCCAGGTGCTTCCTCCTGGTCTCCCACGCAGGTGCAGGGCCCAAGCACTTGGGCCATCCTCCACTGCCCTCCCTGGCCACAGCAGAGAGCTGGACTGGAAGAGGAGCAACCGGGACTAGAACCCGGCACTCATATGGGATGCCGGCGCCTCAGGGGGAGGACAAACCAAGTGAGCCACGGCGACGGCCCCCTGCCTGCAGCCTTGCACAGAAGTCACCGTGTCCCCGGCTGTGTCTTCTTTGCAGGCTGGCATGATTATAGACAACGGGGTCAAAACCACAGAGGCCTCAGCCAAGGACAAGCGGCCCTTCCTCTCCATCATCTCCGCCAGGTAATCAGCCCTCAGGTAGACAGAGCCCCTGGCGCCTTGGATTTTCATTCATTCACCTGGCACCGATGGAATGGCGCACAGGCGGGCCCAGCGTAAGGAGGAGACTAGAAAAAAAGGGGCGAACTCCACCTTCGGTTTCCTGCGAAGCCACATGTAGTGATGTCCATGCATAAGCCTGGAGCGGAGCTGCAGGCCGACAGATCTTTTTATTTATTTATTTATTTTTTATTTTTTTGACAGGCAGAGTGGACAGTGAGAGAGAGAGACAGAGAGAAAGGTCCTCCTTCGCCGTTGGTTCACCCTCCAATGGCTGCCGCGGCAGGCGCACCGCGCTGATCCGAGGGCAGGAGCCAGGTGCTTATCCTGGTCTCCCACGGGGTGCAGGGCCCAAGCACTTGGGCCATCCTCCACTGCACTCCCTGGCCACAACAGAGAGCTGGCCTGGAAGAGGGGCAACCGGGACAGAATCCGGCGCCCCGACCGGGACTAGAACCCGGTGTGCCAGTGCCGCAAAGAGGAGGATTAGCCTAGTGAGCCGCGGCGCCGGCCACTGACAGCTCTTTTTAACAGGTGCTGCCAGAACCCCAAGGGAGCTGGCCAAAGAGCCTTCTTGGTGTCCACCAGAAGTGGGTGACACCAACTGGAAACCATTCATCTTAGCAAAATAAGCCAGTCCCCAAAAACAAACATTGTGTATTTTCTTTGACTTGTGGCAGTTCATATCTACTACAAAAAATAAAAAATGCGTGGAGATGAAACAGACGTCTCGTGATTGGATCGTTGCTTTCAGCCCCTGTGTAAACTCCTGTGGAGCTGTGGTCTTCCTGCTTTGTACCTGTTGAATAGTATGGGCAGTGGGGCAGCAGGCCTGTGCTGATCGGGTGGATGGATATTGTGTCTTTGCAAAAATTAAAGGCAAAAAAGCAAGCAAGGAAGGAAGGGGGTGGAGGGAGGGACAGAGAGAGGGAGGGAAGTATGGTTATGTTCTTAGAATTACCAGTGACATACATGAAAACTACTCTCTTGACATTAATGAAAATTTAAGAAGCAGTCAGTAAGAAAGAAGTGGGTGACACAAGTGGCAGGCAGATGTCCACCGAGCACTGTGGCTGGAAGGGGTGTCGGTGAGTGTGGCTCAGCACCGCATTCTGGAGCTAAGTGCCTAGAGAGGGCACTGGTGCAGGTGGTGGGAGACCCTGCCCAGGCGGGGGGCTGGCCTCTGATCCCCACCCCCGCCACCACCACTGCCAACACACTGGGCCCCTGCTTGGAGGAAGCTCTCCCGTGGTGTTACTGCCAAACAGGGAAAGTGACTTGCTTGTGGCTTGCATGGGGAGCAGCCCACTCGCTCCTGTGATGAGCTCAGAGACTTGCCTCCAGGGGCAGGTGGTACTGATGGGTGCCCTCTGGGTCCCGCAAGCAGGGAGAAGGTCAGGGGACTCAAAGGGGTCAGTGGAGGAGCCCCCCTCCCCCCCCACACACACATCAGCACTGCCACCTGTGCCCTCCCCACGGTGTGTTCCAGATACAGCCCTCACCAGGACGCCGATCCGCTGAAACCCCGGGAGCCGGCCATCATCAGACACTTCACGGCCTACAAGAACCAGGACCACGGGGCCTGGCTGCGCGGCGGGGATGTGTGGCTGGACAGCTGCCGGTGAGTCAGTCGGGAGTCGCACGGGGCATTGCGGCTTCCTCGGGCAGGGGAGAGGAGAGCGAGGCAGACAGGGGCATGAGACGTGTTGACCTCTGGCCAGGCTGGGGCAGAGACTGGCACCAGGCAGTGACCCCCAGAGCAGCATCTCGGCCTCCACCCACTCTGTGGGCCCCTGATTTGCCTCCAAACACCTGCTGGGCTTAGCTGTCTCGAGGTCACAGTTAGCCAAGGCGAGGGAGGAGGAAGCCAGGCTGTTCTGGACACCCACTGTGTGCAGAAGCCTTGACTTCCTCTTGTATTGTGTTTCTTGGACACACAAATTCTCTTTTTAAGATTTATTTGTATGGCAGAGCAACACAGAGAGGGAAAGACAGACAGACAGACAGACACACACACACACCCACACAGAGAGAGAGAGAGAGAGAAGCAGAGATCTGCAGAGGGACGGGGTGAGCCCCGGGAGCACCTGCTGCCAGCCTGGGAGGTGCCCAGGCCACGTCCTGGCTGGCAGAGGGACAGGAGGCCTTTGCCCTACACAGGTCCTGGGTTTGAGATGAGGGCCGGGAGCGGCGGTGCCTGGTCTGGATGCGGCAGGGTGTGCAGAGGGACTGGGAGCTAGCTTGTGCTGAGGGCCGGTGGTGCGGGCACTGGAGTGGGCAGAGCCGCACCACATGGCCTGGGTGTGCAGGATGCGCTGTAGATGGCTCTCCCTAGAGCAGAGCCAGGGGAAAGACAAAGCAAGCCGGCATCAGCACTGCGCTTCTCACAGCCGTCCACGCCGGGCTCACTGGGCGTTTTAGATTTGGGGTTCCTGCATAGACCCTCAACATCAGGCTTGGAGCAGCAGGAAGACCCTCCCCCCCACACACACACACCCCACTCTGCCACTGTGTCTTCCAGTCCCCTGCCGGTCTCATCCCAAGGTAGCAGGGGTCTCCCAAGGCTGTGGCCCCATGGGGAGACAAAGCCCAGTGCCCTCAGAAGAGGGGGATCCCTTGGAGGACTTTGGGCACTTGGCCCATATGGTCACCGCCCTGGGCACTGCAGGCCACAGGTGAGCAGGGGAGAGCACTGGGCTGGCTGTGATGCCATGGCCGTGGTCCCTGTGAGCCAGACACGGAGCAGGCGAGCAGCCACTCAGTGGCTGTGCCCTGAATTTTGGAAGAGCAGGCAGAAAGACTGAATGAGGCTACAGTCACCAGGAGGGGGCTGCCAGTGTCTGTGAGGTCCCCAGCCACACAGCAGGGAACGAGGGGGCACGGGCAGAGCCCTGGGGAATGACAACAAAGAGGGGAGGTGCTGATTGTCCGCTCTTGTCCCCAGGTTCGCCGACAATGGCATCGGCCTGACGCTGGCCAGGTAAGAGCACCTGCCGCTGGGCGTGGCCTCCCCGGGAGCTTGCCTGTAGGGCCCTCGTCCCAAACACCTTCTCTCTGCAGTGGTGGCACCTTCCCGTACGACGATGGCTCCAAGCAGGAGATCAAGAACAGCTTGTTCGTGGGCGAGAGTGGCAACGTGGGCACGGAAATGATGGACAATCGGATCTGGGGCCCGGGCGGCCTGGACCACAGCGGAAGGACCCTCCCCATAGGCCAGTAGGTTTGCAAGCCCGGCAGTTCCCTTGTTCCGTGTGGCTTCACCCCAGTGGCAGAGAGAGGCTAATGGGTGACTTCTTTTTTTCAATTTATTTGAGAAGCAGAGAGATAGAAAGAAAGAGCTTCCGTGTGCTGGTTCACTTACCAAACACCTGTAGTGGGTGGGGCGGGGCTGGGCTGGACAGAATCCAGAAGGCAGAAATTCAAACAGGGTCTCCCACGTGGGTGGCAGGGACCCAGTCACTTGAGCTGTCATCTGCATTAACGGGAAGCTGGAGTCAGGAGCCGGAGCTGGAACTGAATCCCAGGTACCCGGATATGGAACACGAGCGTCCTAACCAACGTCTTAACTGATAGGCTGAGGACCTGTGGGGGATTCCCACCTGTGGGCCACGAATGCTTCTGTCTTCCTTCAGCCAGTGAGATCACGGGAATGATGGCAAAGGGGTGAAACCTGGTACGGAGCGAGAGATGTCAGGATACAGCCCTGAGCCACAGGGCGGGGCGGCCACCGAAATGCGCCGTGATGGCCGTGGTCTATGCTAATAGGAATCCTGTGTGCAGGATCAGGGACCGAGAGCCTGGCCCCTCTCCAAAGGCACAGCCACTTGGACTGTCGTGTCCACTGCTGAGGATGCAGGAGTGAGAGTCAAGGCTCAGAGCCCGTGGACACCACAACCACACCAGGACGGCAGCAGAACCTACGTCACGGGACAGGGCAGCATCCTTGGGTCCCTGCAGGGGGCCTGCGCGCACACAGGCTTGGGGCTGCCGTGCACATGAGAAACGAGACTTAGGTCCCCTGGCCCCCGGGGTTAGCGTTGCTTTAGTGCAGGGAAGATTTTTTTTCTTTTTTTCTTTTTATTTATTTTTATTTATTTATTTATTTATTGACAGGCAGAGTAGACAGTGAGAGAGAGAGACCTTTTGCCATTGGTTCACCCTCCAATGGCCGCCGCGGCCGGCGCGCTGCGGCCAGCGCACCGCGCTGATCCGATGGCAGGAGCCAGGTGCTTCTCCTGGTCTCCCATGGGGTGCAGGGCCCAAGCACTTGGGCCATCCTCCACTGCACTCCCTGGCCACAGCAGAGAGCTGGCCTGGAAGAGGGGCAACCGGGACAGGATCCGGCGCCCCGATCGGGACTAGAACCTGGTGTGCCGGCGCTGCAAGGCGGAGGATTAGCCTAGTGAGCCGCGGCGCCGGCCGGGAAGATTTTTTTTTTAAGATTTATTTATTTATTTGAAAGAGTCACACAGAGAGAGAAGGAGAAGCAGATAGAGAGAGAGAGAGGTCTCCCATCCACTGGTTCACTCCCCAATTGGCCGCAACAGCCAGAGCTGTGCCAATCTGAAGCCAGGAGCCAGGAGCTTCTTCCAGGTCTCCCATGCTGGTGCAGGGGCCCAAGCACCTGGACCATCTTCTGCTGCTTTCTAAGACCATTATTAGGGATCTGGATTGGAAGTGAAGCAGCCAGGACTTGAACCGGTGTCCGTATGGGATGCCAGTACTGCAGGCGGTGGCTTTACCCGCTACGCCACAGCGCCAGCCCTGGGAAGATTTTTCTAAGTCAAGTTTTCTGCACAACAGACTACCGGGGCTATCGCGAGGATCCTTGGGTTCTGAGGCCAGCGGAGGCTGAGCCAAGGTGGGGATTGGAGAGGGCAGTGGGTGCCGGGGGAGCTGATGAACTGACGGAAAGCCCCAGCCTGGGTCAGTGGCGGGAACTCCCTCCTCCCTGCGTGTCTACTGAGATCTGTGCTCTGATGGGAATTCAAGCCACAGGGCAAGGCTCTTGAGCATGGGAGCCCCATGACTCCAAGATAAGATCAGCCTCTCGCCTCCCTGGGCTATGTTCTCGGAGAACGTGGTTCTTGCCACGGGAGTCAGCAGCCCCACTCCTGTGCATCTTTGGATAGGGGACAGATCCATTCTCCTTCCCTCTCCCCTCCGCTGCCCTCATGTCCATGGAAGGGGAGTGGCCTGACACAGAGGTAGAGACACCAGTCAGAGCTTCAGCGGTGGGCGTGGAGGATAAGCAGGCCCAGATTTGGGGCCGGGCCACCAGGAAGCCCAGCCAGCCCCCACGGGCCCTCATTTCCCACGGCTTGCTCAGGAGGCTCAGGCACGTGGGAGCAGCATCCCTGAGCGACCCACGGCCGGCTGGGCCAAGGCAGAGCCTGCAAGTCCTTGTCTAGTCTTCCACTCCACCCCGAGCCTGTGGCCCCTGCCCACCTCCCCCTAGTGCCTTCCAGCCATGGGTGAGGTCTTGCGCAGTCCACAACCTTCCACCTCCCCCAAGGCTCATCCAGGAATGCTGCGAAAGCCGCGTGGCTATGGTCCCTCCTGTGGCTTCTCGCCTCCCTCTGTTTCCCAAGCCCAGCCCCTTGCTAGGTGAAAGGCTTGCTCACAGCCGAGAAGGGCAGCTGGTTCTCAACGGATGAAGCTGTTGCTATAGCAACTGACACCAAGGCAGTCACAACGCACAGCTCTCTCCTCCCCGGCGACACAGCATTGCTCTCTCCAGCAGCATCCACAGTGTTGGCCCAGTCGCTCTGCATAGGATGGAAAGACCGGGGGCACTGTTGCTATAGAGGACCACCCCCCCAAGCCTCAGGCCAGCAACCAAGTAGACCAAAGTAGACAGTCACTGAGTCGCCCACCAGCCACCCATCCATCACTCCTCCAGCCGCCATTCCCTTCTGTTGCCCTCACTCGGTCTGTACTTGCCTTGTCAGTGAATTAATGAATGACTCAGTGATGCTGCGGCATTGGGAGAGTTGCAGGGGTTGGGGATCAGGGACAGCTTTGCCCGGAAGTCCGTCTCCCGCCCACTTTGGAGGAAGCAGACATGGCGTTCCGACTGACACGTGACTCGCTTCGCTCCGCAGGAATTTTCCGATCAGAGGGATCCAGTTCTACGACGGCCCCGTCAACATCTTCAACTGCACTTTCCGAAAGTTTGCGGCCCTGGAGGGCCGGCACACCAGCGCCCTGGCCTTCCGCCTCAACAACGCCTGGCAGAGCTGTCCCCACAACAACGTGACCGGCATCACCTTTGAGGATGTCCCGGTGAGTGCCAGACTCGGCACGGTGATTCACAAGTGCCCGGCGGGGGCCGGGATGGGAGCTGTGGCCGCCGCCACCGCAGGGGTTGAAAAGCCTTCCCGAGTAGGCTGGGCCGCGTCCCAGTTTGTTCTGTGTCCAAACTGGAAAAGTACAACCAGAGGCGGCCCTGCAGGTCAGGGCTGGGCTGAAGCCGGAATGCTGGGCTGGGAGAAGCAGCTGAGCCTACACTGGGGCCCAGGCCTTGGCCTTGACCATGTCGCCTGAGTGGGCATAAAGAATTCAAAAGCCCAGAAGAGTCCAAGGCACAGTTCCCGGGTCATCTCTTCTGAGAGGAGAATGCAAACAGTGGCCTCCTGGCCAGGAACAGCAGAGCAGGGGAGCAGGCCCAGGGCTGCCCTGAGACCTGGCAGGTCCACACCTCCTGGCACATTTCCCTCTGGTTGTGGAATTCCTCCTCCTCTTCCTCCTGGCTCCTGCCTTATGCCCGTGTGTGTCCAGCTCCTGGCAGGCCCAAGGACAGGCCTGTGTGGATTCACTTTCCCATACAAACCTTTCTTTCTCGTGTACACACCACACACACACACACACACAGGCCCCCTGCCAGCTTGGCCACGCCCCCATCTCAGAGCAGTCTGGCCTCCAAGAAGCAGAGGCACCGTGAACTTCTGCCCATCGCTCTGGCTCCTCCGGGAGGTTGGCCGTGCAGTGCCCCCCACTGCCCAGAGCGTCTCTGGCTTGGCTGCTTTAGAAAGTCAGCGGAAACCGGAAACTTCACCCTGGGGCCCCGATCGTGGCTGCGTGTGCCTGCCCCTGCTGGCCTGGCCTGACGTTCCCGGGGCCGTGTTCAGATTACTTCCAGAGTGTTCTTCGGAGAGCCGGGGCCCTGGTTCAACCAGCTGGACATGGATGGGGATAAGACGTCCGTGTTCCACGACGTGGACGGCTCGGTGTCCGAGTACCCTGGCTCCTACCTCACCAAGGACGACAACTGGCTGGTCCGGCACCCCGACTGCATCAATGTGCCCGACTGGAGAGGCGCCATCTGCAGTGGGCGCTATGCACAGGTGGGGACGCCGCCCGGGGCCTGCACACAGCCACTCACAGGACAGGCATTCAGCAGGCGCCTACTGTATGCTCGGCTGTGGAGCAGGCCAGACCGAGACACACAATGCTTCCTTTTCCTCTTTATTTCCTTTGTTTCCTGCCCACCCTCCGCACTCAATAGGATTTTCATGAAGTCATAGTCACAACACTGGAAGCACAATGCTTCGGAAACAGAGCGGGTGTTTAGGGCCGTGGCTAAGCTGCCACTGGGAACCCCCGCATCCGGTATCAGAGAGCCTGGGCTTCAGTCCTGGCTCTGCTTGCAACAGCAGCTTCCTGCTAATGCACACTCTGGGAGGCAGCAGGAGCAGGCTCAGGTAGGGCCCCTGCCACCCACATGGGAGACCTGCATGGAGTCCCTGGCTTCAGCCCAAGCCATTGCAGGCATTCGGGGAGAGAACCAGCAGATGGGGGCTCTGTCTATGGCCCTCTTCCCCTCCCCAACCTCGGAGCGGGTGTTTAAGATGCCCTGAACACCTGAGTTGCATTCCCGGTTCTGGCTCCTGTTCCAGTTTCCTGGATGCAGACCCTGGGAGGCAGCAGGAATAGCTCAAATAACTGAGTTCCTGCCACCCATGCGGGAGACTTGGATTGAGTTCCCATTACCTGGCTCTGGCCCCAGCTCAGCCTCGGCCATGGCAGGCATTTGGGGAGTGAGGCAGGTGGGGGTGTGCACACACACACACACACTCCGCCTCTCAAATGAATAAGTAAATGTTGAAAATTCAAGTCCAGAGCCGGCGCCGTGGCTCAATAGGCTAATCCTCCACCTAGCGGCGCCGGCACACCGGGTTCTAGTCCCGGTCGGGGCGCCGGATTCTGTCCCGGTTGCCCCTCTTCCAGGCCAGCTCTCTGCTATGGCCAGGGAGTGCAGTGGAGGATGGCCCAGGTGCTTGGGCCCTGCACCCCATGGGAGACCAGGAAAAGCACCTGGATCCTGGCTCCTGCCATCGGATCAGCGCGGTGCGCCGGCTGCAGCGGCGGCCATTGGAGGGTGAACCAACGGCAAACGGAAGACCTTTCTCTCTCTGTCTCTCGCTCCCACTTTCCCACCCTCGCTATAAGATCTACGCACCAATTCCAACTATGGTCATGGGTTCAAGTCCTGAGCTGCACTGGCCACATTTCCACTGCTTAAGGGCCACCTGGGGACAGCGGCTCCTGGACCTCACAGAGTGGGTCTCGATGGACCCTGGAACGAGGCAGATCTTGAATATTTCTGACCACATTCGGTCTGATTAAGGCTCATAGTCTGACAGCGACTGGCCTGTGAACAAATGGATAAGGGGAGAGAGGCCCGAGTAGGTGAAGTCGCCAGATCTGGAGGGAAACTCGGTCCCAGAAGCGGAAGTTGGTCTCCCAAGCATTGCCCGAGGCCGTAAATTATAATCGCTGCGAGCAGCGGGCCGGGGGAGGTTCCAGAGGAGCTGAGTGGTGTACTGGGGGTGGGAGAAGGATGGGGGAGAGGAGGGAGCCACAGGGGTGGGGGGAGAAGAGGGAGCCGTAGGGGGGCAGGGGGAAAGGAGGGAGCCGTAGGGTGGGGGAGAGGAGGGAGCCGTAGGGTGGGGGAGAGGAGGGAGCCACAGGGGTGGGGTGGGCGCAGCGGGCAGCTGGGGAGCAGGTGCCGGAGGGGGGAGGGGCTGGCCTCCAGTAGGAGGAGGGGCCTGCGGGCCGAGGACCGAGGACCATGAGATCTGGGGGAGCGAGCCCCAGGAGGGAGGCCTGCGGAGAGCGATAGGGTCTGGAACAGCTGCTGGAAGGAGCGGGAGACAGCGACAGGAGGCCTGTGGCAGCGCTGCACACCCCATGTGGACCTGTGGGCCTGTGGGGGGCCTCTCTCCCAGGCCCACTGCAGAGCCCCATGGGAGGTTCCCAGGGCTGGCTTCTGTTGTGCATTGGGGGCAGAGCACTGACAGGAGGGTGCAGGGAAGATAAGAAGGGTGATGGCGTGAGAAGAGGGTGAGAGGTGGGAGACGGGGGCCGCAGCCTGCAGCCCCAGTCTGCATTGTCATTGTCATGGGTGCCACCCTGCCAGGACAAGCCCCACAGGGAGCCTTGCTTTCCCTGGCCATCCTTTCCTCCCATGCATTCCTTGTCTCTGTAAGGGGGACCTCAGAAAGGCAGAGTTGCAAAGAGAGCGACAGACACAGAGAGAGAGAGAGAGTCATTGAGCTCTCCAGATGACTGCAACAGCCAGGGCTGGGCCAGGCTGAAGTCGGGAGCCTGGAACTCCACTCGGGTCTCCCACCTTGGCCTTGAGCCATCTTCTGCTGCCTTCCCAAGTGCAGTTGCAGGAAGTGGAGCAGCCGGGACTTGAACCTGCGCTCTCATGGGATGTCAGCACCCCAGGCGGAGGCTTAGCCTGCTGCACCATGGCCCTGGCTCCTCTCCCTCCAGTTTCCAGCTTACACACATTCTCAATACCTTTGACCTCTTTGATCCTTGGACCAGCTCCGTAAGATAGGGCGCCTCTCTTCCCATCCCATATGCGATTCACAGAGGGGTTGGTGGCTCCTCCTGCCACAGGTGCAGAGTCGTGGACCCCTGGTGGGTGGTGTCTGTTGCCATAGCTACAGAGACGTCTCCCTCTGCACGTGCCATGTACCATAAGAGAGGAAGGTGTTTTAAGCTGAGGCTGGCTCCTTGCTCCATGGTTGAGTGTCTTGCTTTGAGCTTTTTCCTTACAATGGAACACCCTTCAGTCGCCCAGTGCGTGCCCTCACCCACAAGGATGCCCCACAGGGGCCGGAGGGAGAAGTAGGACAACAGCCCAGGCACACTCTCAAGTGCCTGCACAGCGACCACCGACCCACAGCGAGTGGCATTTGCAGTGAAACTCCCCTGCCCTCTCTCTCCCTTCCCCCGCCTTCTGCATCCTCCTCCTTTTTTGAAAATTCGCCATCTGATTATTGGGCGACGCCCCCCCCTGCAAGTTTCCAGCCCACAACACTGTGCCTTTTTTTTTTTTTTTTTACAGGCAGAGTGGACAGTGAGAGAGAGAGACAGAGAGAAAGGCCTTCCTTTTGCCGCTGGTTCACCCTCCAATGGCCGCTGCGGCTGGCGCGCTGCGGCCGGCGCACTGCGTTGATCCGATGGCAAGAGCCAGGTGCTTCTCCTGGTCTCCCATGGGGTGCAGGGCCCAAGCACTTGGGCCATCCTCCACTGCACTCCCTGGCCACAGCAGAGAGCTGGCCTGGAAGAGGGGCAACCGGGACAGAATCCGGCGCCCCAACCGGGACTAGAACCCGGTGTGCCGGCGCCGCAAGGTGGAGGATTAGCCTAGTGAGCCGCGGTGCCGGCCGACACTGTGCTTCTTTGAAGATGCACAGAGCACACGGTTGCCGGGTTGCACGGCGCAGCTGGGACCCCGCCCCCGGCAGCGAGAGACGTCCCCTTATTTGACCTGTCTTCCATTCACGCCTTCTGTAAAGGGCTCTGCATCGAGAAAGCACTTTTGAACGTGGTCAGAGGCTAACCAGACACTCGCTCTGGGGCCGATCCCTGGTTACAGCCTCCTCATGCGTCTCCTGATTGGCTCTTGACAGATGTACATCCAGGCCTACAAGACCAGTAACCTACGAATGAAGATCATCAAGAATGACTTCCCCAGCCACCCTCTGTACCTGGAGGGGGCCCTGACCAGGAGCACCCACTACCAGCAGTACCAGCCGGTCATCACGCTGTACAAGGGCTATACCATCCACTGGGACCAGACGGCCCCCGCCGAGCTCACCATCTGGCTCATCAACTTCAACAAGTGAGTGCTGGCCATGCCTCCCTGCAAATGCCCGGGCTCGCTGCTCCCAGAAGCTCAGGCCAGCCCCAGGGATCCCTGCAGGAGGTTGCTGGAGGGGTCCGTGTCACCTGGGCGCACCCTCTGGGCGAGGGTGGCCTGGGGCAAGACACGTGGCCTCCCGGAGCCTCAGCTCCGTCCCCTGTGAGGTGAGGATGCTGCTGTCTTGCAGGAGTGCACTGGGGGCTGTGACAGGCGTCTCAGGCAGTGCAGTGGCCCTGTGCAGTGAGCCTTCTGGTTCCCATGTCACCTGGAGGGGGACGAGGCCCTGCGAAGCTCAGGGCCCAGGCTGAGGGCCTCTGCCCGGGGCTTTCCATGTGGGTGTTCCCGTGTGCATTAGGCACTTGCCACAGGAATCCTGTGAGACAGACACTTTGAGACCCAAAAGAGACGCCATGGGCCCCATGATGGGCAGGCGGGCGCAGGGCCAGTGTGCTTGGACAACACCCACGTTGAGAGAATGTCCTTGCTCTCGCCTGCGTCCCTGCTATGGCAGCCCCAGTGCAGGTGTGCGAGGTGCACAGCTGGCCTCTTCTGATGCCACCGGCTCCTCCCTCTGTCCTTCAGCACTTGGTGACCACCAAGAGCAGGTGTTCTTTCAAAATTCCCTGCCCAGAACTGATGTTGCTATTTGGTTTCTCAAAGACGCACCCCACCCCCACCCCCGCCAAGACCTGGGACGTGCATGTCCCTGCTGGTAACCTCCCTCCACTTCTGGTCCCAGGGGCGACTGGATCCGGGTGGGGTTCTGCTACCCACGGGGCACCACCTTCTCCATCCTCTCTGACGTTCACAATCGCCTACTGAAGCAAACAACCAAGACGGGCACCTTGGCCAGGACCTTGCAGATGGACAAGGTGGAGCGGAGCTATCCCGGCCGGGGCTACTACTACTGGGACGAGGACTCCGGGTAAGGAAGCTCTCGCTTGGCTGTGGGGGAGCAGCCCGGCCTCCCCTGGCCCCCCTGCCCTTCCCACTGACCCCGAGAACCACAAGTGGTGGATAGCACCAATTCACAGAGGATGCTCTCCTGGGCGCTTTGCGTGCTATGGCTGATTGTGTCAGGCACGAATGATATATTTTTAAGAGATTTATTTTATTTATTTGAAAGAGTTACAGAGAGAGGTAGAAACAGAGAGAGAGGTAGAAACAGAGAGAGGCAGAAAAAGAGAGAGAGAGGCAGAAAGAGAGAGAGAGAGAGGCCTTCCATCTGCTGGTTCATTCTCCAAATGGCAGCAATAGCCAGGGCTGACCAGGCCAAAGCCAGGAGCTTCTTCCTGGTCTCCCACATGGGTGCAGGGGCCCAAGGACTTGGACCATCTTCTACTGCCTTCCCAGGCCATAGCAGGGAGCTGGATTGGAAGTGGAGTTGTATTGGTGCCCATATGGGATGCCAGTGCTGCAGGCATCCGTCCCAGACTGACAGCTGGAAAGCCGTGACGCTTTGGGAGTAGAACAAGGCTCCATGAAACACACAGGTGGATCGTAGGGATTGTATTGTGTTACCTATTTCAGCACCAGACCGATGCCTGTGATCCTTAGAATCCAGAAAGCACTGTCCTGTATCAGCCCCTGGGGACCACCAGCCGGGGCAGGTGATGTGTGTGACTCACAGACAGGCAGGGAAGGCCTGGAGGAGGAAGGAGCGACTTGCCCAGGAGCACATCTGGGTTGGAACCCAGACCTATTAGCATGCAAAGCCCTCCCCCTTTGGCTAAACTGTGCCAGGTGCCACTTGGTAGATAGGCCATCTGTTAGCGGAGACAGAAGCTGTGAGTTTATGAACAAATGCATACTTATTTTGATGCAAACATTGTTGAAATCCCTGTGGTTTTTTCATAATGTGCATTTTCCATGAACTTTTCTTACAAAGATTTATTTATGTATTCAAAAACCAGACTTAGAGAGAACAGAGAGAAAGAGAGAGAGAGAGAGAGAGAGGTCTTCCATCTCCTGGTTCACTCCCCAGATGGCCGCAATGGCCAGGGCCTCATCAGGCCAAAGCCAGGATCCAGGAGCTTCTTCCAGGTCTCCCACATACGTGCCATCTTCAGCTGTTTTCCTAGGCACATGAGCAGAGAGCTGGATCAGAAGTGGAGCAGCCTAGACACGAACTGACGCCTATATGGGATGCCAGTGTCACAGGTGGTGGCTCAACCTGCCACACAACAACACCAGTCCCCTTATTTTTTTTTATTTTTTTTATTTTTTATTTTTTGACAGGCAGAGTGGACAGTGAGAGAGAGAGACAGAGAGAAAGGTCTTCCTTTGCCGTTGGTTCACCCTCCAATGGCCGCCGCGGCCGGCGCGCTGCGGCTGGCGCACCGCGCTGATCTGATGGCAGGAGCCAGGAGCCAGGTGCTTTTCCTGGTCTCCCATGGGGTGCAGGGCCCAAGCACCTGGGTCATCCTCCGCTGCACTCCTTGGCCACAGCAGAGAGCTGGCCTGGAAGAGGGGCAACCGGGACAGAATCCGGCGCCCTGACCGGGACTAGAACCCGGTGTGCCGGCGCCGCTAGGCAGAGGATTAGCCTAGTGAGCCGCGGCGCCGGCCCAACACCAGTCCCCTTAATAAGTGTTTAATGTGCCCAGCCATCAGCAGGACATCAGCCTGGGGCTGTGTTCCTCTCCTGCCTCCCGGGGCCTTGCAGTTCAGCCAACCTGGGCACATCCAAGTTGAAGGGCAGGACTGGGGAAAGCAGCTGATAGACAGCTGTGTGGATGAGACCGATACAGCAACAAGGAGCCTGAACGCTGTGGAGCCTGCTGCAGAGGCCGTAGGGCCAATCCCACATCCGTGCCTTGGTCCTCTCCGGCGCGCGTGGGAGGCCCCGTGGAGATGTAACCATGGCAGCATGAACCCCCTCCCTCCTAAGCTGCCCCAGGGGCTCCGGGGAGCCTGGCAGGCAGGTGGCAGCTCCACGCTCAGCCACGAGCCTGAGACCTGGAGAACAGGCAGTTTCGGTTTTATTGATCACGTCTCTCAGTGCCAGAAACGTGACGTTCCAGAAGCTGCTCGAGGAAGCACAGATGAGGTTGTGAAGGAGGGAGGTTGATTTTGGCCCGGGTTCTGGGGATCCAAGTCCAGGGCGGGGCAGGCCCGGTTGGTGTGGCCTCTGATAAGGCTGCAGGATGGCTGTGGCCAAGGGGGAGCCGTGTGCCAAGCCGGGAAGCAGAGAGCATGGCTGGGCTCCACTCTGGGTTTAGAAACAAGCCACCTCCCATCCAAGAGCACTGCCCGAGTGTCCTAAGGGCCTCCCACCAGGCCCACCTCCCAGACACCCTCATTGGATGCAGTTTCTAGCCTCTTGGTTCTAGTAACATAAGACTTTGAACACTAAGCATTTAGCTCATTGGCTTTTAGGAGGCATTCAATATGCAGACTAATATCCAAACCACGTCCCGGCCAGTGGGGCAGCCTGGGGCGGGGGGGTCAGCTCTCAGCAAGGGGACCCCACGGGGGTGAGAGTCAACCTCATGGTGCTTTTTTTGAGCTAAGAGAAAGATGATGACAAATCCCAAGTTAGGACACCGGGGGTTGCTCCTACCGTGACTCCCGGTCACTCTGAGTCGGCTTCTTTCGCTGTAACAATGACTGCTTTTAGTAAGTTCTATGACAATTTCTGGTGTGAAGCTGTGGGCTTGGGAGAAAACTCAGCAGGAGCCATGATGCACACAGAAGCCCAGCTCTGCCGTTCCCGGCTGCGTGGCCCTGCCAGTGGCTTCCCATCTCTGAGTCACATGTCCCCATCTGGGAGGTCAGGGTGACAACGGGACCTCCGGGGGAGGATTGTTGGAGGACCAGTGAATGATGTGGTGATGTACATCACATGCACACCATGGCAAACAGTGTGTGCTCGGGGTGTGTAGCTGCCACTCTTAATAGCTTTTCCTTCATCAATTCATTTTCTAATTTCTCCAATTCCATATAACCCTCTGGTAGGCACAGAAAAAGATTTATTTATTTATTTTAAAGGCAGAGTTAGAGAGAGAGAGAGAGAGAGAGAGGGAGTTGTCCACCTGCTGGTTCATTCCCCAAATGGCTGCAACAGCCGGGGCTGAGCCAGGCTGCAGCCAGGAGCCAGTAGCTTCATCTGGGTCTCCCACATGGGTACAGGGGCCCAAGCACTTGGGCCATCTTCCGTTGCTCTCTCAGACACATTAGCAGGGAGCTGGATGGGAAGTGGAGCAGCCGGGACTCAAACAGGCGCCCGTATGCTGGCGCTGCAGATGGGGGCTTAACCCACTGTGCCACAGCGCCGGCCGCGCTCCATGTGTTCTGAGGCATGTAGGGGTAACCCCTACACTGGAGGTTCCCAGTGCTGGTGCCCAGCGCCCAGAGAGACGCCCCCTGTTTGCAGGCTGCTCTTCCTGAAGCTGAGAGCTCAGAACGAGAGAGAGAAGTTTGCCTTCTGCTCCATGAAAGGCTGTGAGAGGCTCAGGATCAAAGCTCTGATCCCCAGGAACGCGGGCGTCAGCGACTGCACGGCCAGCGCCTACCCCAGGTTCGCCGAGAGGGCTGTGGTGGACGTGCCCATGCCCAAGAAGCTCTTCGGTACCCAGCTGGTGAGTTGTGGGGCACGAGCCTGGGTCCCTGCACCTGCGGGGGCACCTGGATCCCACCAGGCTACTCCCGTGACACCCGCAGCACCCCTCCCGGCGTGCCCTGTGCCTGGGACCACCAGGGGCAGGGGGAGGGGCTTCCCCCCTTGACTTGGGCTGTGCTCGTCTTGCAGAGGTCGAAGGACCACTTCCTGGAGGTGAAGATAGAAAGTTCCAGACAGCACTTCTTCCACCTTCGCACCGACTTCGCGTATATCGAGGTGCGTGCACTGGCCCTGGCGTCCCGGGCTGCCTGTCGGGAGAGGCCCTGGTGCCTTCCCGGGGCTGCCAGGGTGAAGGGCAGCCAGCTGCTGGCCTCAAACGGCAGAATGGGTTCTCTCGTGGCTGTGGAGCCCACAAGGAGCTGGCGGCCGTGGCTCCTGCTGGAGGCAGCGGGGAGGGTGTGTCCCGGCTCCTGGGAGCTCCCAGGGACCTCTGCACTCCTTGGCTTGCTGATTCCTCGCCCTTGTCTCTGGCTCTGTTTCTCCTGTGGGTCTGCGTCCCCCGTCTCCTTCTCCATCTATCATTGCGTTCACTCTGCAAATCCCAGACAGTGTCTTCTCAAGACCTTTAACTTCATCACACCTGCCAAGACCCTAGTTCTGAGTAATGTCACTTGCACGGGCGAGGGGTTTTCCATGAACTCGTGCCTTGGAGACCAGGGTTCAGTCCACTGCAGAGGGCTTCATGCCCCGGGGTCTGCCCTCAGGACCCTGCCTCACACCGGCCCTGCTCCGGCCCCACAGGTGGATGGGAGGAAGTTCCCCAGCTCCGAAGACGGCATCCAGGTAGTGGTGATCGACGGTGGCCTCGGGCACGTGGTGAGCCACACGAGTTTCCACAACTCCATTCTGCAGGGCATTCCGTGGCAGCTCTTCAGTTACGTGGCCACCATCCCTGACAAGTGAGTCCTGCTCCCTCCCTCCCTCTCCCTCTCCCTCTCTCTCTCTCTCTCTCTCTTTCTCTCTCTCTCTCTCCTTCTGCAACTGACTGGTGGCATCACAGATGACCCAGGCCTGTCACTGAAGCTTTCATCACAGACCAGCCTGGGACAGCCCTGGGACAGCCTGGGACAGCCTGGGACAGCCCTGGGACGTGCCACACTCTGCCCCCACATCCCGGGGACCAGGAACAGACCCTGCCCCTTGACTCTCGGGCTGCAGCCAGGGCTGCTGTGGGTGTAGGTCACGCTGAGACAGACAGGGCTGCCCGTGACAAGTGGGCAGGCCTCCTGGGAACTCTTCCCCCTCTCCACACGCTCCGTCCCATGATCTCATCACCTCCCACGCCTTCCATGGGCTCCAAACGCTGGCGATGCTTGAGCAACTCCAGCTCAGACCTGGTCCTCGGCGCCAGGCATCCCAGCCCAGTGGCTACTTGCAGAACGCCGTGTGTAGAACTGAACTCAATCGTTTTCTTTGTAAAAGATTTATTTACCTGTGTGAATGGTACAGTGACTGAAAGAGAGAGAGAGAGAGATCTTCCAATCGCTGGTTCAGTCCCCAAATGCCTGCAACAGCCAGGTCTGGGCCAGGCTCAAGCCGGGAGCCAGGAGCTCCATTCTGGTCTCCCACATTGGGGGCAGGAACTCAAGGAACCATCACCCGCCACCTCACAAGAGCATTAGTGGGGGGCTGGATTGGAAGTGGAGGAGCCGGGACTCGAACCGACACTCCAATGCAGGCTGTAGGTGTTCCAAATGGCAACTTAACCCACAATACTATAACACCTGCACCCCCTCTTTTTCTTAATCCCCCCAAACCAGCTGCTCCTCTTGTTCGGGCTAATTAGCCATCAGCCAGGATGGCACGAGTGGATGCACCTGCTACCCCATGGAGGGGGTGGACTTCCTGGCCCTGACACCAAGTCTAGCTCACCCTTGCAAGTCCAGCCCAGTTCCTGGCTTGCTAAATGGGCATAGAATTCACTCAGGAGCAGCACCTGGTGGAAAATATAGGTGCTTAAAGTGGCACCTGCCACATCATAGGTGCTTAGTAAGTAGTTATTGGGGGAAAGCAGAGGTTCTGTGTGGGTGCCAGCTCTGGGAGGGGCACACCGTGAGATGCTGGTGAACAGTGGTTTTAAATTTACATTTTTGAGAGGCAGAGAGACAGACAGAGCTCCCCTCTGCTGATTCATTTCCCCAATGCCCACATCAGCCGGGGCTGGGCCAGGGACAAACCCAGGAGCCAGGAACTCCATCCAAGTCTCCCACGTGGGTGGCAGGGACCCGACCACCTGAGCCATCATGGCAGCCTCCCAGGGTCCACAGTAGCCGGAAGCTGGAGTCAGGATCCAGAGCTGAGTTTGAACCCAGTTTCTCTGATGGGGTGGAGGGGCACAGGCATCTTTTTTTTAAGATTTATTTCTTATTTATTTGAAAGGCAAAGTTACAGAGAGGAGAGACAGTGATCTTCCATCCACAAGTTCACTAAATGGTCACAGCAACTAGGGCTGTGCCAGGCCCAAGCCAGAGGCCAGGAGCTTCTTCCAGGTCTCCCGCTTGGGTGCAGGGGCCCAGGGACTTGGACCATCCTCGGCTGCTTTCCCAAGTTCATTAGCAGGGAGCTGGATTGGAAGCAGAGCAGCCGGGACATAAACAGGTGCCCATATGGGATGCTGGTGCTGCAGACTGTGGCTTTAACCTGCTGTGCCTCAGTGCGGGGTCCCTAGCAGGGGTCTCTTAACCTCCAGGCCAAGTGCCCACCCCAAGAATGCATCTGCTTAGCCACACTCAGTGCCTTCTCCGTTCCCCAGCTGCTGCCCCCTGCGCTTTGCTGTCCACTTGCACCGCAGGGCGAGATGACTGATCTGGGAAGAAGGCATTTACCATCAAGAGAGCCGGGTGTTCAGGCCTTTTTTGGCCACAGGATTTTGTTTGTTTGTTTGTTTGTTTTTTGACAGGCAGAGTTAGACAGAGAGAGAGAGAGAGAGAGAGAAAGGTCTTCCTTTTTCCATTGGTTCACCCTCCAAGTGGCTGCTACAGCCGGCACGTTGTGGACGGCGCACTATGCCGACCCGAAGCCAGGAGCCAGGTGCTTCTTCCCGGTCTCCCATGCGGGTGCAGGGCCCAAGGACTTGGGCCATTCTCCACTGCCTTCCCGGGCCACAGCAGAGAGCTGGCCTGGAAGAGGAGCAACTGGGACAGAACCGGCGCACCTGACCGGGACTAGAACCCAGGGTGCCGGCACTGCAGGCAGAGGATTAGCCTAGTGAGCCGCGGCGCCGGCCACAGGATTTTTTTTTTTTTTTGAAAGCAAAACGGGCAGCAGAAGTTTGCACAGGAAACTGAAAGGCAGAGCTGCCCTGTTGGCAGCAGGGTGAGAGGCCCCCGACAGGGGCCCCCGTGCCAACTCCCAGGGGGACACCAAGCCCCGGGCTGGCGCTAGGTGCCCATCTAACTATTGGGTGCCACTCAGCTCCCCTCTGGTCTCCTAAAAGGCATCAGGGAATGGGACAAGTCAGGTCCACCCCATGCTCAGAGCCACCACCTGTCCCTGGGCAGAGAAGAGGGCGGCCGCTCCCAGCAAACCCCTAAGGGTGGCTTCTGGAGCCGTGTCGGCCCTGTCCCTGTGGGAGACCTCCTGTGTGTGGGATGAGGGTGCATCCCAGGCAGAGAGAGGGGACCCTGTAACAGGGCGGTCAGGCCGCTGGGCATTGCCAGGAGGCTGTGGGAGCCCAGGAAGCCCTGCGCCCCTGCGCCCCTGCCCCGCTCCTGGAAGCTGACCCGCATGGCCACCTGGAGGCCATGACCTTCCACTGTGCCTGCCCCAGCAGGAGGCTCCCGTCAGCTAGGGACCTTTAGCATCTGTTCTGAAATGCAACAAAGGAGAAACACCTCCCTGAGCGCGGAGCCTGACCCCAAAGCCGAGGATGAGTTTGCCATGAGCCCTGTGTCTCCCGGCCGGCCGGCCCCCCGCCCACCCCTCCCTGAGGAGCCCGAGGCAGCCCCTGGCTCCCTTCCCGACTGCCCTTTCTTGCGCACGGGCCGAGCTGCTCTTCTGCTCCCCGTGGGACACGAGTGGGGGTGACCTCGGGGTTTGGGATCCCATGAAGTTTTTCCATGTCTGGGCAGTGGTCTGCGGTTGCAGAGTTGCTTTGAAATGTGGCAGACTCGGGGCCCCATGGAGCGTCTTCTGCCCAGGGTTTCCGGTCCCCAGGGAGGCGCTCCCTTCCGCCTGTCTGGGCCGGCGTGAGTCTGCCACCCAGAGGGCTGTTTTCCCAGCACTTGGGATGGAACAGCAGCCAAGGCGGGTAGGTGGGGCTTCCTGCTCCCAAGCTGGATGTGTACCAGCTGGGCGTACACGTGGCCCGGGTCCTCTCGGAGCCTTCATCCCCACTTGCTTCCATCTCCCTTTCGCACGACGGAGGGGACATGACCCTAAGAGGTGCACCTGCACGCGTGGTAACCACACAGGGTTCTTCCCAGAAGGAGCTCCGAGGTGGCCACACTCTGCCTGTGACCCAGAGGAGGCTGGCCCTGAGCCACGCAAAGCCCTGGCCCACAGACAGGAGACACTGAGCCACACACGGCTGCAGGAGATGCCTCCAGCGCGGGGCCTCTCGGCCACTAAGGTTGCCCACGGCACCTGGAGATGTTGGTAAAACACAGCTTCCCCTACAGGCTGTCTGCCGTGGCTCCATCCTGAGCTTCTAACAAGCCCCAGGTGATGCCAGGCAGAGGGTCCCCGGGGAGCTGGTGGCGCCAGGGGCTCCCGGTGTCTTTCCTGCCCCGGGTGGATGCTCCCTGCTCTCCCTCCCGGCTGTCGCAGTCCCTTTGTGCTTCCTCTCTCCCCTTCTGGCTTCCTCTGGTTCCTTTCTGGACCCACCCAGTGCATCTCACTGTCTCTCCCCAACCCCCACCCCCACCCCCACTGTATGCCCAGCCCTGGGATGGGCACTGCCGCAGTACCCCCAGGCAGTGGGCTGTGCCTCCATTCTCTGCCCTGCGTGGCCACGGATGTGTGAAAGCAGCCAACGTGAGAAGGTCACCAGCCCTGGCTGCGGCCAGATGTGTGGGAGGCGCGTCAGGGTGTCCGTCACCGCTCGGAAAGAGCCGGTCAGCGCGGCCCGCAAGAGAGGCTGCCCTTTCTCCAAGCCCTTCCCCAGGGGGCTGCCCGCTCCGGTCCCACGGCACACAAGCCAACGTCCTCCCCCACGCCCTCCTCGCTCGGGTCTGCTCGCTCACCTCACGGGCCCCCTCTCGCTCAGTTCCATAGTGCTCGTGACATCGAAGGGGAAATACAGCTCCCGGGGCCCGTGGACCAGAGCGCTGGAGAAGCTGGGGGCAGACAAGGGCCTCAAGCTGAAAGGTAAGGGTTCAGCGGTCCAGCCCGGAGGTGGCTGTGACCCCTCGCTGAGTCTAGAACGTTCCTTCCCCGTACCCCTGGGTCGGGCCCTGAACCCTCACCTCCACCAGGTCCTGTGGAATAGAGACACAAGGTGGCATCTTCTACCTTTCCCGTACCAGGGGCTCCAGCAGTGCGAGGAACAATGGCATCCAAAGATAGGTTTGCTTGGTGCATTTTTTTAAACCCAGCCACGGTTACTCAGGCTGGCTGGGGACCCGGGGCCTCCCTCTGCAACCCAGCATCTGGGTAGCGCTTGGCGGTCTGCAGGACAAATGTGTCTCCTGAGATAGGGAGAGGAGGAGGCCGTGAAAGCCCAGAGGATCTTCTTGGCTTGTCCCAGGTCACACAGCTCTTCTGCGGGGACTGGCACGGACACAGCCAGGCAGGCAGAGGTGTCGGCAGGTCCCTCGCGCGTCATCAGCATCAGGGACCACATTCTGAGAGGCCTGGGGGAGCGGGTGTGGGGAGCAGCTCTCAGGACAGCGATGAAGCTCATGTGGCCACTGTCCCGTGGCTGGCCCTGCACCTGCTGTGCACTTTTTATTTTTTTTTAAGATTATATTTGTTTACTTGAAAGAATTACAGAGAGGCAGAGGCAGAGAGAGAGAGGTCTTCTATCTGCTGGTTCACTCCCCAACTGGCAGTGACGGCCAGAGCTGTGCCAATCCAAAGCCAAGAGCCAGGAGCTACATGGTGTGCAGGGACCCAAAGACTTGGGCCATCTTCTACTGCTTTCCCAGGCCATAGCAGAGAGCTGGATTGGAAGTGGAGTAGCTGGGTCTCGAACCAGCGCCCACATGGGATGCTGGCACAGCAGGCGGCAGCTTTGCCCACTACGCTGTGCACTTTGTAATCATCTCTCTCAGCCACTCACAGCCAGGATAAAGAAGCCGAACCCTACACATCTCTGAGTACCTTGCTAAAATGAAGATTTAGATGCTAATCCCCCTAACCCAGGCAGGGCGTCAGCGGCTGCACCATCCTGCCTACAGACAGGAGGTTTATCCCGGGCAGGGGCAGAGAAAAATTGGGAATGACGAAAGCCCTCAGACGAGCCCAGGGAGAACACAGAAGCGTCCCCTCTTAGCCCAGTCCTGGAATCATTTGGGGACCTCTGCCTTCCACGGTAGCAGCTTGGCTGATGCTTAGAAGGGGCCCTAAGCCGAGTGTGGCCGCTCATCCATGTGGACCCTCGGCTACAAGACAGGGAGTGCTGCGCAGGGCCAGCGGTCACGAGCTCTGGTCCGGGCTGCACCTGTGAGGTCCCCTCCCCAGGTCCTCCTTCCAGTGCCACAAAGTGGCGGGGCCGGGAGCCGGGGGAGAGGGAGGAGGTGCACGCCGGTGCCTGGCAGATGGGAGCACAGGGCTTCGGAGAGGGGCAGGGACCTGCTGGCGACCCCAGGCTCCTGGGAGGTCTCCTCCCTCCCGTCCTCCCTGTCTGCCCCATTTCCCATGGTGCACGGCTCTCCTGGGTAGGGGAAAGCCACCACCCTGCCTAGATGGCCACACAACTCGTGACCCCCCCTGCCCCAGATGAACCGATGCCAGGTGCCGGCAGCAGCTGGGACCAGCTGGGACCAGGCTGCGGTGTGTGGCTGAGGGCAGGGGCGCCTGCTGGGGACAGGGACCCCCGGGAAGGGGGCAGGTGTGGCCTTTCCGCTCAGTGTCTCACCGCTGTTTTGCAGAAAAAATGGCGTTCGTCGGCTTCAAAGGCAGCTTCCGGCCCATCTGGGTGACTCTGGACACCGAGGACCACAAGGCCAAAATCTTCCAAGTGGTGCCCATCCCCGTGGTGCGGAAGAAGAAGCTGTGAGCACAGCGGCCACCCTGGCGCCGCCCCGCGGTGGATTGTGTGCCGGATGGGCGGCCAGGGCCAGATGGCGGTGGGCTCCCCTGTCCAGTGGCTACTGGGGGAGGCCGTGCGCCAGCCCTGGTGGGCCAAGGGAAGGAATCAGAGACCACCACCACCCCCGGTGCTGCCACCTGCCCCACGAGTCTCTACCTGCAGCCCCGGGGCAGCGCTGGCCTCTCCTGAACCCCTTCTCTTTCCTGCAGTCTCTTGGGTGCTTCTCACCAACCTGTGCCTCTTCACTGGGGGAGCAGGGCCCCTATAAGGAGGCCTGGCCCGGCTAGGAGGGGGCCTGGGGGGTGGGCTGGGCCACATACAGGTCCCCGAGGTCTCCAGTGGACACCTTAGGGTGGGAGATGTAAGAAAGAGAGCCTGGCCCTAAGGAAATTTTAGTTCCTGTGAGCCGAAGCCACCTTCGTGGATTCCAGAACTCTGTGGCTTCCCTCACTGTCCACGGAGCCCAGCAGCAGAGGCCACGCTTTGTGGCTGGCGTCCACGATGCTGGGTGTCCCCGGGGGTGAGGGCCGATGCCCCACGCGGGGGGCTTGCAGTCGGCAGGGTGGGCGGGGGGCCCACGTGCACACTGATACTGGACGGAGAAATCAGAGAGGTGAAGGGAGGGAAAGACCACTCGCGCTCAGGTGGGTCAGGAAGGCTTCTCGCAGGAGGAGGCCAGGGTCACTGCAGGCACGAAGGGCAGAGGGCATTTTGAGCGGCAAGGTGGCCCAAGCGTGGTTTGGAGGCTGGGCCCTTCCTATCAGCACCTGCCGAGGCCAGCGCCCGCGGGGTCACCCTCGGCCCTTGGTCCCCAACTGGCCCCGGCCTCCGACTCTCAGATACGGTGGAGTCCTGCCAGGACCCCGTTTGCTCTCCGTCCTGGGACCTGGGTGGGTGGAGACAGGACCCAGGAGCCACACACGATCCTGGCAGGTGTTGGCTGGGGTGGGAGGCTCTTAGGAAAGGTTCGGTCCGAAGCCTGCCTTTGACAGCTGGCGAGGAAATGAGTAAGACCTTGACATGGGAAAGCACCACCAGCCAGGGCACAGCCCCAGGAGCCCCGCTGCAGCCTGGGCCGCCCCACTGCACCAGGGGCCCAGCCCTCCTGCAGCGGCTTCCGGGAAGGGCAGTGACAAGTACCCGGCACAGGTGGACAGCTGGCCTGGGACGGGCTCCCTCCTGCTCCTCTGTGCACCAGGCTGCCCTGTCTTGGGGCAAGCGGTCACTGCCACCCTCGCCTGGTTATGCCACCTGCCAGCTCTCGGCTGCCCCCACCTGGTCACGCACAGTCCCCTCGGTTTCTGCGATGCTGCAGGTACCACCCAGTGGCGGCTTGGAGGGGGGGGGAGTGGGGGAGGGCTCACCGCCCCATCTCTGGTGGTCAAATGCGGCCGCCCTCGGGGGGTCTGAAGAGTCGCTGGGTGCCCCCTACCCCCTGCCCTTTCGGTTACTTCTCCATACACTCGCTCCTGGAAGAGAGAGAACTCTACCTGTGGTTTATCCTCTCCCGCGAGGCGCCAGGGTCTCCCTGGGTCTCCTGACCAACGACCTTTGACCTCTTTCTCGTCCCAGCCACAGACTCTTTTCTTCTAAGAGGGCTCCCTGGGCTCATACTTCCAGGCTTCGCCAAGGAGACGCGGCCCGCAGGCTGCGTGAAGCGTCAGA